TGGTTTCCCAGCCTATACCGGCACTCAACCCTCTTCCACACATATAATTGACATTATAGGCTAGGACAGTAATTCTCAACCTGGGGTCGAATGATCCTTTCATAGGGGAACACCTAAGACCACTGCAAAACACAGATATTTGCATTACAGTTCATAACAGCAGCAAATTTACAATTATAAAGTAGCAATGAAAATAATTCTATGGTTGAGGTCACCACAACATGAGGAACTGTATCAAAGGGTCGCAGTATTAGGAAGGTTGAGAACCACTGGGCTAGGATCTGCACAGACATGTGGGCTTGTTTTGTTGTTGTTGGGTTTTTTTGTCTTTTCAAGTAATTAATATAAGACTTTCCAGATTATCCATTTCATTGAAATTTTCATAATTTCATTTTTTACAGCTGAATATAATTCCATTTTGTGTGAGTGTGTATCACATTTTCATTATCTACTCATGTGTAGATGGGCATTGAGGCTGACTTCATTTCCTCTTCTATTGTAAACAGTGGAAGAATAAACATGGATGTGCAAGAATCTGCACTGGAGGACAGACTCATTCTGATACGTGCCCAGGAGTGGTACAGCTGGATCATATGGAAGTCCGTTTTTAATTATTTGAGAAACTTCCATATCGGGAGGCCCTGCTGGTCAGAGGCTGCAGCCTACCATGGCCTGGAAGCTTTCTCCAAGCTTCACAACATGGAGGACTCCCTTCCCAGCGAGACTTCCTGCTCTCTGTCTGCCCTTATTTGGAGGATGTCTTTAGGTCTGGATGCCCGACTTATCTCAAGGGTGACCCTTGACATGGTTCGCTGCAAACTCTTCCCCTGATGCCCACATGATGACTAGGCCAATGCTCTAGCCATTCTGATAAGGCCATGTTTCCACTAATCCAGCTACATGATAGAAGCATGCCACTCACTGCAACTTAGGCTTTGTCCCCAGGATCCCCATCCTATCTGTTTCCTATACTCTGGAATTAAGTTGAATTGTCCCACTGAGGTCATTTCCCCGAGGGCTATCTCAGTCACATCCACAGCCCTCAGAACCCTGTTCCCCTCTTCTGCTCCCTCCTCCCGCATGGACCAGGTGGTCAACAATCTTGAGGAAGAAGGAGAACCACGCCGCCATAATGACTGCATCAGTCTACACTCCCACCAGCAAGATTAAGTGGTCACCTGTGCCTACATCCAAAGCAGCATGTTTTTTCTTGTTGGGGATGAGGGTGGAATCCCAGTGTAATTTAATTTGTATTTCCTGGATGGGTAAAGATGCTGTACTCTTTAAAAAAATATCTATCTGCAACAAGTATAGTGACTTACACCTTTACTCCCAGTAGGAGGTACAGGAGGCAAAGGCGGGCTGAGCACTGTAAGTTTCATGCCAGCCACGACTATATAGATCCAGTCCCAAAACCAAAATAAAACACCAACCAAAATCTTTTTTTCCAAGCAAAATCTTATTTGTCATTTGCATTTCTGCATTAGAGAACTGTCTGCTCACTCCATCAGTGTATTTCTTGACGGACAGCTTAGGATTTTGTGGGTGTTTAATTTTTGATAATCTTTGTATATTCTAAATATTAACCGCCTGTCTGAAAAAAATTCCCTCTCACTCCGTGGACTATCTATCCAGTCTGCTGGTAGTTTCCTTAGCTATTCAGAAACTTTTTATTTCATGTGATTCCAATGGTCAGTTCTTGGGGCTATTTTCCTATGCAAAATCTTTTTCAGAAAACTCTTGATTATATCTCTTTTTGGAGTGTATTAGCTATGTATTTCCTTTAGCAGTTTCAATTAAAATTAAATTAAATTTAAATTTTTTGTGAAGGGATCCAACTTCATTTTTCTGCAAATGGGCACCAGTTTTGACAAAACCATTTTTTGAATGGATTTTTTCTTTCTTTTGAGAGAGTCTCTCTATGGAGTCCTGGTTGTCCTGAAACTCATTATGTAGACCAGGCTGACTTCGAACTCACAGAGATCCGCCTGCCTCTGCCTCCCATGTCCTGGGATTAAAGGTGTGCACCACCACCACCTGGTTGTGCTCTTTCTTCTAAGGATTATTTTGACTATTTGTGGTCTTTTGTGTTTCCATATGAAGTTTCGGATTATTTTTCCAAGTTCTGTGAGGAGTGTCTTTGTAATTTTGATGGCAATTTCACTGAATCTACAGATCACTTTTGGCAACAGAGCCATTTTCACAGTATAAAGTCTGCCAATTTGGAAGCATATAAGGTTTCTTTTCATTATCAGGTATTTTAATTTCTGTTTCTTCAAGTTTCCTTTTTAAAAAAATTTACATGTCAGCCACAAGGATTATTCCACGATACTTGATTTTGCAGGGGGCTATTGTGAATGAAATGATGGGTGTGTGTGTGTGTGTGTGTGTGTGTGTGTGTGTTTGGGGGGTGGAGGTCTCTAAGTAGCCCTGCCTGTTCTAGAACTTGCTTTGTCGATCATGCTGGTCTCTGCCTTGAGTGCTGGGATCAAAGGCATGCACCACCATGCCTCATGGTTGGAATGTTTTTCAACTCATTTTTAGTATATGTGAATGCTACTGGGTTTTGTGTGTTAGTTTTATATTCTGCAAATATACTAGAACTATTTATTAAATCTAGAAGATCTCTGGTGGAGTCTGTAGGGTCTTTTAGGTATAAAATCACATCATTTGCAGATAAATATAACTCATCTCCTTCTTTTCCCAATTTTATCCCTTTTATATCTTTCATCTTCTTGCTTGGCCTAGCCCTTCATGAACTATACTAACTATGACTATGCGTGAAGAGAGAGTGGGCACCCTTGTCTCCTCCACATTTTAGGGGAAATGCTCTCTGTTCTCCCATCTCATAATGTTGGTAGACTTGTCATACACAGCCTTTATTGTTTCCAGTATGTTCTGCCTGTTCCTAATTTCTCCAAGCCCTTCATCATGTCTGCATGGCAAGCTCTGTCAAAAACTTACTCTGCATCTATTGGGAGAATCCTGCGAGTTCTATCCTTAAGACTGGATCTTTAAGATGTAAGTTTTTAGAGACTTCAGTGAGATAGTATACAGTTGGCTTGTTTTTGAAACAAAAAACCCAAACTATTCTGCCAATCCCTGTCTTTGAATTGGAAATTTTAATTCATTTAATTTTAAAATAATTGTTTGGTAGGATGGACCACTGTTAATCTGCTGTACATTTGCCATGTCATAGAGCACTCTGTGCGTGTGTGTGTGTGTGTGCACAATGCATGTGTGTGTGTGCGTGCGTGCGCACGGTGTGTGTGTGTGCGCGCGCGCACAATGCATGTGTGTATGTGTATGCGCGCACGTGTCACTGACCCTGAAGCTGACCTACTGGCTAGACTAGTTGATCAGCAAGCTCCTGGAGCCCTCATCTCTACTTCCTATACTAGGATTACAAACTTGCTGTTCTATTTGCATACCATTTTCTTGATTTGCTCTGTTTCTCTTTAGTTTTGAGATCATCCAGAAAGGTGGAGCCCTGGACGGAGGGAACTGGTTCCTGAAAGTTACCCTTTGATATCCACATGTGTACCTTGGCACCGTATACCCTGCCTCCCCAAACAAATAACTGTAATTATAAAAGAGTAATCTTTGTTTAGTTAATTTAATCTTTGTTAGTACTTTCTCCAGGTCTTGTTCAGAGATGGTCTGTTGATTTGTTGCCTTTTGAATGGGTCACAGTTGCCTGCTTCTTTGTGATTTCTTGTTGCACAATGAACAGCTGAATATGGTGACTCTGGAAATCAGATGCCCCTTTCTCCACATTTTCTCATGGTTGTTCTTTCTTGGTGGGTGCTAGTTTGCTTGGTGGGTTCCCCCCTCCTGTTGTTTGTTCAAGGTCTCCCTGTAGCTCGGACTGGCCTGGAACTCATGACGTAGGCCAGACTAGCCTCAAACTCATAGTCACCTACTGCCTCAGCCTCTCTGAGTGGTGGGGCTATAATGAAGAAGGGTAAGTTCCATACCCAGGATCAGTTTGGATGAGCATACTATATGAACTTAGGATTTCTTGAGTCTTTTCTGAGACCAAACTTTCCCTGGATATGGTCAATCACTTTCCAATGTTCTGTCTAGTTTCCAAAAGGAGGAAAAAGGAGAAAAGGGTACGGGCCCTTTAAATCTAAGAAGTTATTTCAGTTGGATGGGGGTACAGTAATGACTTCCTGCTTCTGTGTTTACATACCAGTGATTAGAAGCATCAATCTCTGCTGAGCACAGATCTTTGATGTTCAGGAAGATTCGCTTTTCCATCTGCTGTGGTCCCCACAGGCTCCATGCCAGGTGCCCTGGATGAGGGTCCAGTTGCTGTGCCAGGCTGGATGGGGCATGATGCTGCTGCTGGGCTGCAAGCTGAACTTGCCAAAGTTAAGTTGGCTGTTCAGGCATTCCTCTTCCGGGATTCCAAAGCATCAACAGCCTCCAAGCTCCAGGGGAGTTACAAGAAGCCAGAGTCCAGCAGACCAGTGGTTCCCTAGGCAGGAGGCAGGTTCTGGAGCAGCTTCCCCCACCTCCCGGAATCCCTGCAACCATTCTGTTCTTCATGGGCTTATTCTGGGTGCTTTGCTTGACCCAGTTTACATCGTCATGGTAACCATGCATTTGGTGGCTGCAAAACACATCCTACTTTCTGTCCCCTTCCCCAGTATGTCCCCCTCCCCACTTTATCCAAGATCATTTACGTAGGGGACAGCACTACTATTTCCTGAGCTAACCATTTGTTTCTCTCGTTCTGCCTCCTTATTCGCCTTGGGCCATTTTTGTTGACCCTTTACAGATGAAAGAACATCTTTGTGAGAACCACTGGGGTCGTGAAGTTAGGGAATTATGCTGGAGTCACATCCCTTATTGTCCCCTGCTTTGAAGGATCCGATGCAAGTGAAACAATGAATGTTAAATCTATTTCTGTGACCTGCAGGAACAGGAGACAAGACAAGGAGAGGTGTGGAACAGGGGAGATACTGATTAAACCAAGAGCGACATTGTTAAGAAATTTATTTGCAATTCTTTTTTGCGTTTTTGTTTGTTTTTTAAATAACATCATTCCTTAGATAAAAATGCAATCTTACAGGAATATACAGTAACGTCTCACACAGAGATGGACCCTGAAGCTCTCCTTGAAGGTTTCCCCTTCTAGATTCCCTGGCCTCGCTCGAGGGGGAGAAGGCGCAGCAGGCAGGGCCTTTGACAACAGGATTATTGGATGATCACAAACTGTACAATATTTACAACAGTCGGACTGTGGTGTCGTGGAGTCTGGAGGGGCAGGCATGGGATGTGCAGGTGTGTATGAGCGACACAGAGGCCTGTTCATCTTTCCGTGCCTCTCTGGGAACAGGCATGGCACATGACACAGGTTTTCTCAGGGACATGAAGTGGACTGAGTAGACACATGGTGCGTGGGGGATGGGCGCAGCGTGATGTGGACCCCTGACATGGAGGAAGTCTTCCTTAGCAACACTGGCAGATCAAAGTAGAATTGCAGTACTATGGGAGAGGCAGCGTTCACTCCTGGGATCTATTTCCCAATGGCTTCTTTCCCTGCAGGTTGCTCTTAACTGCTATGGTCACAGATGTGTGTAAACCCAGCGGTTTTCCTGCCACACAGGCTGTTCAGGGCGGCAAGCAAGCAGCTCACGCACGAGCTGGGCAGGGTAGATGGGTGCATGGTCTGGCGGGAAGGCTGAGAGGGGGATTTCAAGTCTGGGGGATGGGATGCAGGTGTGGTTGTGTGCTGGGTGGGGCACAGAAAGTGACCCATACATAGCCTGCAGTCCCGGTGATGCCTTCTAAGGGGCCCTCTGCCGGGACTGCTTGCTCACAAATCACCTGTCCTCAATTCCCAAGGGTTCTCCCCTGTTTTTAACTTTGGTGTGGTTCTCCATGCTGGGAAGTCTTAGGAGGCAACATAGAAGCTAAAGTGCTTGCCCAGCATGCACAAGGAAGGCCCTTGGCTCAACCCCCAGTACCTCCACACTGCTCCCCAAAAAAGGAAAAGAAAAAAGAAACTACCCTCCAATTTCCTATAGCCTCTGTTTCCCCCAAACCGTCTGTGTAATGACCCTGCTGAGGGAAGCATCAGGGAAGTTTTAGGTGGCAAATTTGCATGAACTGGACTCATTTATGCTGGAGTAGAGAGCTCGCCACCTGGTCTGTAACCTTTATACATTCATTCATTTAGATTCTGGGAAACTGGGGTGCATACGATTTCCCGTGGGGATGAGGGGGTTACACATCTGAGACGGGTTGACTCTGGTGATATGACATTTCATATTTTCATTGCAATTTCTGGCCTTGCCTTCCTTATTGCTAGCAGAGACCTAGAAGAAACATAACAGGAAAAATCTCAATTCCGACTTTACTGTCAGTATTGAATTGATTTGCAATGCTTGATCTATCCAGCTACATACTCCAACTCCCTTTCAGAGATGGTACCTGGTCTTCCTCACATACCAGGAAGGCCAGGCCTTTATCATGTACTATACGAATCAAATCTGTTAAGATGGCTGGAGGAAAAGAGTGGTAGCACTTCCTCACTGTAGATGAATAAATGGTCACCATTTCCACCCATGGAAACTGTTCTAGTTTCTTCCACACGTTCCCCTTCAAAGGTGTTCTGTGCTTTTCTGTTATAATAGGATATCACCTACACATGCACTGAGTGCATCCATAGCTGTTCTGGGACATAGAGCTACAGACTGAACAGGTTGAACATGCCTACCACGTGGCCAACACCTCAGCACTTGTGCTTTAGGGTGTGAGTGAGTGTGCTTCAGAGTGTTGTGTGTGTGTGTGTGTGTGTGTGTGTGTGTGTGGTGTGTTTCAACTGTCTCCATAACAAGGTGAAAGGCTATGGCCTAAGAAACACTGTAAGAATTTGCAAATGGTTCCTTTCACCTCTGTGTTCCCTTCACTGGGCTTGCAGAGGAGGAGGAGGGGGAGGAGGAAGAGGAGTAAATGATAAAGGAAGGGAAGGTCCCTGTTACTGACGTCATAGATAGGGTGCTTTCCCCTCCCCGCCCACAACCTTCTAGGACCCCTCTACCATGGCAGCTGCTGTAGAACATGGGCTTTGGTGAGGGAGACCCAAGTTCCCCCAACCACTTTCCCATTGGCAAACTCTTTGGCGAGGTATGGCGGAGGGGCCTCATATGGTCAGGTAGGGACCATATATATCTCTAGCTAGGTTGATTTAGCTGGAAAAACACTCAGGGTAGGAATTCATTTTTCACAGCTTCCAAAGCAGATTATGGAGTCATCGGCCTTTTCTAAGGCTTTCCATAAGATGAGGTGACATGGATGAGGTCAGGATGCACCCTTTCCTCGCCCTCACTCCCCTCTAACTCTCTCTGTGCTGATGCCTGCTTCCGAGCCAGAGCTTTGTTGAAGACAGAATCAACCAGGGTGCTTACAGCCTGGGCTCTGAGTAGCTCTTCTGAAAGCTAGACGATCCTTCCTCAGGTCAATTGTTTCTAGCTCCTGAATGAGGACATTTCAGTCACTCAAGGTCCCAGGATGGAAGGTCCTTCCCCTTGGTGACATTTGAAATGTGGGATAAGAAGGCTAAAAGCCCTGATTATCAGATTCGACTCCATGCTTGATCTGGGTCCTTGATCTCTTGGCCTGCCTTTAGGAGCAGTGGAGTGTATCTCCTGGCCTCTGGACAGCAGCCACTTTCCTTCTACTGACTTCCAGCATGTTCTCAAAAACGTGCTGATGTTGGCAAAGGAAGGGCTGCCTACTGCATTCTGTTAGGGTGTCTGGTACCAGGGGAAGGTAAATGACAGAGTTGGGCCTTGGATTTGTCAGGTTACGATGGAAACCACAGCTAAGAGGGAAGACATTTACAAATCAAACAAGGACCAGGAAAGTCTCTCTCTTTTAAGCTGAAAATATGAAGCACCTTCTAGGACTAGGCAGAAAGGAACCAACAGGACTCTGTCTGTATAAAATGGCCACATACATGAACAGAGCATAAAAGAGACAGCTAATCATGGAGATGAGAGTACAAGCCCTTCGCTCCTCTGGTCCCTTTGGTCCCCAGCTGCGGGCTAATTCCCTGCCATCTAGGGGCTACCGCGATTGCAGAAGGCCTGCAGTTCCATTTAGAAGAGTCACTGGGAAAGCTCCATGGTGGGCGGGGAGGAGAGCTAATCATGGAGATGAGAGTACAAGCCCTTCGCTCCTCTGGTCCCTTTGGTCCCCAGCTGCGGGCTAATTCCCTGCCATCTAGGGGCTACCGCGATTGCAGAAGGCCTGCAGTTCCATTTAGAAGAGTCACTGGGAAAGCTCCATGGTGGGCGGGGAGGAGACAGTCTGGCATACTGTTCAGTGGCTCTCCTACTCACTGCCCCCTCTGTCCTGGCCACAGGCAGCATGCATTAGTCTTATGTAGGTGGTCATGACGCCAAGCATGAAAGTCCCACTGTCCACTGAACCTTCTTTCCTCCTAACAATAAAGGGCAGGGGCCCATTGTCCCTGATGGTGCCACTCTTGCAGGGCGCAGTGTATGCGTGAAAGGCTACTCTGTTCTTCTTGGCCACAGAGGAGAAGGCAGCCTGTGGGTATGACTGGTGAGGGGTGGGGGAGTTGGGGAGCCACACTGGGCAGAGTCCTGGTAGGGGCTGCAGAAGCTTGGCCTGTACCTTGTGTCATTGGTCAGAAGACTGGCAATGCAGATCAAAGCTTCTACAGGCAGTCAAGGCAGCATGGGGAGAGAGTATGCAGCCTATGCATGTCTGTGGGTAGGAGCAATCAAAACACCACATTTCCCTAGGGGTCAGATGCGTGCCAGAACCAGACAGCCAATCAGAGGGCTCACCTCTCCATCGTCACTCTAGGCACATCAACAGTCTCGGAAACAAGACAAAGGATGCCGTCTAATCCTTATATCTAGAAGCCCTTATGGTACTGAAGAGAATACATACACGCTGGGTCGACGGTGCACGGGGATTCAAGGAGAAATGCTGTTTCTAGACTCTGGTTAACCTGTGAACACTGCCTCTCTATGCATTTTCATGAAATAGCCCACGAGAGCATTATCACTGAGGAACAACCTTGCTGAATTTCTAGCAGATTCTCACATAATTCCCCAAATAGGCTGGAAGGACCCTGGGACCAGAAGATATCCTGTACGTAGGTAAATTCTGGGTGAATGGTTGAGTCTTATTTTCCCCAGAGCCCTTCCTTTCCAACCATTCTTGTTAAGACACAACTGAAGGACCTGGTACTATTGTAATGGTTTCTGAAGGCAGACATAGAGGAGCCTAAATAAAAGTCCCACACAATCTATTCCTTCCATCCCTATGAGATCCTGATGTCCCCGCCTTCATCAAGATCCCTTGCTTTTCCGCCTTCCTGCTTTGGAGGAAGGAAAGGATATAGTTTCTAGAAGGATCACAGGCCTACCCAGTCACCTTTACCTAGCCACGGCTATGGCTATCCATGTTTGGGCAGATCATGGGTCCAAGAAGAATCTGTCCTACCTCTGCCCCAGCCTGATTGTCACCTCATCCTCTCAGTTAAGATGTGGGCTGTGGGAGTGCTTGACAAATTCAGCCACCTCTCCAGAGGAGCATCCTGAACAAGTATCCACAGAGAAGGCAGCACGTGAAGAGCTGGATGAAACATGCCTGATCTTGCAAAGCAAGATGTGGCACGGACTGTCTTACCACGCAGTTTTTGGAAAGATTGAGGGGAATGGAAACAAGACACAAGATATGCAAAAAGGTACCTCCCAGACCTTCCCACGGAGAGCAGGGTGAGGACTGACACCGGGGACACCTTTGTTCACTTTGCAAATGAAAGAAAACCATCTCCTCCCCAACCACAGGTAGAAAAAGCACTTACGAGTTCAAAGGGAAAGCTTGTCACACTCCAAATACAAAATGATTTACTTTACATGCAGCAAAATATACAAGAAGTGAATTTTAAAACAAACTTAAGTCATTATATTTGCTTGGCACAATTGCAATTCAGTTTTTAAAAAAATATTTGAAAAATACTGAAACTGACCTGAATTCAAGTATAACAGTTTCTTCAACAGAAACATTATCAATGCAATAAAACATTACACAGAATATATCGAAGCAAAATGTCTTCTTGAGTTTTTTCCCTTAAATTTTGTGTGTTTTAAAATAGAATTTTAATGCCGACACAACTCACAATCGTATTTTAAAATGGATATTATTGCATTGCTTTTGCATATCTCGTGGGACAGGAAATGCAGTTACCGATTCTCGTTTCAGAAGCAGAAGCGGAGACAGTGATTTGTTTTTGCTTTCGAATAGCCCCAGATTCAGAACTCCCTGCAGTCAAACCGGAACGGGGATCTATGGACTTTTGTGCGGGGTGGGGAGGACGGGGTGGAGAGGGTACGCAAGCACCGTGTGGGTGCGCGCGCGCACACACACACACGCACACACACAGACGACCCACTATGGACACACGTGAGACACACAGATGCTCATACATCCTCTCTCTTGAACCTGTCCATACACCCAGCTTAGAAAGGAGCCCAGTTCAACCGCTCAGGCACGCAACACCTTATCTAACAGCCCTGTTACCTGCAGATTGTGACTGTCAACCAAACCGGAAAGAAAGGGGGAGGAAGGTGCTGTTACTTAAGGAAATTACAACAAATTACTGGGCATACACAGAGCAGGTAAACTTTCCTGTGATGCTATTGAGCCCTCGGCTCCATGGGTGGAAAAAGAGGGGTGGGGGAAACCGCACCATTTGAAGAATATAATAAAACCAAATCCGACTTAAATAACGCAAATGTGGAAACGGTGAGTGAGGCTGCGCAACTGTAAACGCTCTTCTTCCTCCCTTCCCAGTGGGAAAGCACAACAAATACAAAATAATAAAGAAACCCAAACTCAGAAAACCGAAACATGCTAACAAGAACCATCAAACCGTGAAACCAAGATCACCGAGCAGCAGCCTGCGCCCCCTGGCCCGGCTAGCTGAGGGCGGTGGTGCGGTCTGCACCAGCTCCGGTCACCTGCGTCTACTCCTGCAGGGGACGGGTCCCTGAAGGGACCAAACCTGCATTACTGGAACCTCACAGCCACCTCCCCTACTTGGGGCACTGGCCTACTCCCGCCATAGATCTCTGGGTCTCTGCTCCATTGAGACCACCAGGCTCAGACAGAACATGTGCAAATGACTGTTTATACAAGCAAGGGGAAAACACCCTTTTGGTTAGGGGGATGGGGTCCTTTGGGCGGTGCTGCCGCGGGAAGGTGCTGGAGTCCTGCACCACGGCCTTGGCCTTCTCCCCTGACAAGCCGACTCCGCACACCGCCCAGCTCTGAGGCTTGTCCCGACAGCAGTGAATGAAGACGCTGTTCCGGTTACCTCCAGGTCACGAGAACAGTGAGGCACTTCTGAAACGAACCCATTAGGAACATTGAAACGAATAAAAAACACCCGCGTCTGGTCAGTCCTGCGGACTACAGGTTGCTGACGTAGGCCCTGCTGTCCGGGAGCGCCTCCTCGCTCCGGCCTCGCCCCAGGGCATATGCGCAGCTTTCGTCCTCCGGGACCACAGCCCTGTCCTGCCCTGGGTCCCTGCAGTTCACAAAAGGTAAGAGGGTGCTGTTGGGGCTCTGCTGGGCGCCCCCACTGAGGATGTTGTCTGCGGCGTTCTCCATCTCCTCTATTGTCATGTCACAGGCGTCAGCCAGCTCCTGGGTGGTGACCTCGATGAACTTGGGATCTTGAGCAAACTGTCCCAAGCCTTCTGAAATCAAGACCTAAAAAAATGAAGACAGAAGAGGGGCGTGGTCACTAGAGTTCCAAGCTCGGAAAGGTTGAAGTCACAGGCTGCTGTGAAGAAGAGCATCTGTGTGTACATAACATGTGCACATGGGCATGTGTGTGTGAACGTGTACATAAGCGCGCATGTGTGTGGGGTGTGCATGCATGTCTGTGTGTCTGTATTTGTGTACTAAGAGGAGCACTCACAGGAAAGTAGAGATGTAGTAGGACTGAAGGAAGTGGGCATGCATAGATAGATCAGAGGAGAGAGCTTTAGGTTGGAGGATATCCTATCACCAACTGAGAAAACTGGCAGAGGGGCTGTGGACTCTGTTTTCCCACAGACAGATCTTAGCCTGACCTTTCTTTTCTCCTCTCTGCCCCCCAAGACATCCTTCATGTTGCCCCTTCCAAGAAGCCTTCACCTTTATTTGGTGCTAGCCACTGCCCCCACCTGTCTGCTTCTCCAGGGCTGCCCGTGCAGGACACATGCTCCAGGACTCTTTGTGGAGGACACAAGCTCAGTTTTTGTTTGCAAGGGCTGCAGGTGACTAACATGTGTCCACCCTTCCTGCCAGCTGCTTCACTGACTAGCTAGAAGGAAGATCACTAAATCTCTGAGCCAAGGGGTAGAATGCGGCCATCTCTTTTTCTCCCAGGCTCTTGTTGCTCCTCCTCTGCCCGAGTCACTCTCTCTTCACCTTGCCTGAGTTTTCTACTGCGACCCTGCCTGTTCCGGCCACACCGTGCTAATTTTGAACCTGTTTGTCTTCATTAGCACAGTGGGAGCTCACGAGAGCTGAAACCTATTTCTCCAGATGTCTCACTACACCTACAGGCTCCACACCTGGGAAAACTCTCAGAAATTTTTGAGATGAATCGAGGACAATCAAGTTCAAGAATTAGTGTTTCTGAATTGGAAGGACCAAGGTTACTTGGTTACACTCCACTCCCAAGTCCATGTGACCAAAGGACAGACACAGCCTCTGCTTGGCACGTCCAGTGATGGAGGTTAGCTCCTTTACAGCCCTCTTGGGGAAAGCTGTGTCGGCAAGGTCTCTCCTCCACCAGTTCTCCTAGGAGATGGTTTCTAAGGACCTTGCCACACTCATTGAGGTCTGTTTCACTTTGTGAAGGGCCCATAAATGTGGTGCTAGGGTTGGAACAGATGCTCCTCAGAGGCAGAGAAATTGGGACGGTAAAATCTCTCTAAAGGAGGAACAGAAGCCAAGGAGGGAAAGCGCCATCTTAAACTTGGCCAACTCGTGCATTAGAATCACAGGAAGCCCTGAAAAGGCCAGCTTCCTCCGGCAAGTTTCCAAAGTGCTGGGACGTTGTTCTGAGCAGTCCGGGTTGCACACAGAGAACCCTTGCCCTCTTTGTGGGAACAAGCTCTGGTACACGTGAACACTGGGAGGCAGTAGAACCTCTCCTAGGGTTCACTGGTCTATGCTTTACTAAGGGCTTTCTCCCTGTCCACCACGCCCGACGCTATCATCCTGTATAGTCATGGTTGCAGAAATTTGTACAGGGAAGGAAGCCTGGCCTCCTTCCTTCAGCATTTCTCTAGTTTACCCACTTGACACCCAGTCTACTTGGGAAGCCAGGCTTCCTTCCCTGTACAAAAGTCTCTTGTTTTCTGGGGCCTCTCCCTCCCCAGGACCTGGAATTTACATACCGCTTCTACCAGGCTGCTGGCGCTGCCATGAAACTGTCTCCCTGGAGCTCCAGCCGGGCTGGGCACAGTGAGGGAGACCGGCCGGGCTCTCCGGGCCATGCTGCTGCCCCCACTACAGGCAGTGGTCTCATCAGACCAGGAGCTGCAGTGGATGGACGGGAAGCTGCTGTTGAGTTTCTCGCTGGACTCAGCCCCCTCCAGCCGTAGGGTGGGGATAGGCTGAAGAGGCCTGCCCCTGCTGCCTGGAGTGACAGGGGGTGTGGGACATGGCCTGGGGAACTTGGTAGGAGGATGGCTTCTCTGCAGGAGCGGGCTCAAACCTGCCACTGCCAATGCCTGTGGACATAAGACAAGGAGTTACCAGGAGGGTTCAGTCCTCTGCCTTCTGAGTAACTTTGAAGCGAATCATTTTCCAGTGAGTCCTGCCTAGAATTCTCAAAGTCCAAGTCCTGTCTACCTCACTGAGACCTGGTGTGAGGTTCAATAATATCCAGAAATATTTTAATGAGCATTTCTTTCTAACACAATGGCATTTCCCTCTAGCTTCAGGACCTTGCAATTAAGTATAACCGGTATCATCCGCTCTTTAGTGTGGCTCTGCCATCCACAGTCTCTGGATGTAGTCACTCTGGCTTTCCCTTTAGGGCAGAGAGGGCAATGATGAGGCGTTCTCCACAGCACCAGAGTTCACCAGGGCCCGCTCTATGCATTGGCCTAACGGCCAGTGTGAAGCCAAGCGTGATAAGGACTAGACAAAACCGGTAGCATTATTTTAACTTTGACGATGAGATAGGCCCATCGACAACGCCCGTCAATCTCAAGTGGAGTGCTTCGACTCCTGTTTAACAGCCGCCTGCACCACGATTCATGATTCCCGTGTCTGCTTTCTCTCTCCCCAAATGCTCCCGAGAATCCTGAGGGTGACCCTGCTTTCCCACTGCCACCGTGACTCCCAGCAGTGTCTACTGTTCAGAGGTGATATGTCTGTTAAAAAGAATGTCACTCTGTGGTGGGAACAGAGAGAACGGATTGGAGGTGGCACAGCGGTACAGAGAGAAACCTCATTTCCTGCCCGTGAGCACAAGGACAGAGGGACAAACCCAACTTGGAGAAATCTTTCTAAATAGAACATAGTGTCCCTCCATCCTCCTTTTCTTCCCTCTCCCCAGCTTACGAGCGTTCCGAGCTTCTGGGGACCTGGAAATCTAAGGGAAGAACAAAACTATGTTCATAATATTGGGAAGTTTATGATAATAATCCCTATTTAGACAGTGCTTTGGCTCTGAGATGAAGTTGTAGCAGTTTATAAAATACATTTGTGAGCATGTTACCACACACATTTACACATGCACACATGTACTAACAGAGATACACATGTACACACATGTATACACACGTGCAAGCATACCCCCCCCACATACACTGAAAGCAGAGGCCCCAAAGGGAGTTTGTAATTACAAAGCGGGGAGGGCTCAGGTTTAGGTCCCCATTTGCTGCAGGTAATGTACTGACTGTAGCCTGAAGTTCCTACTTGTTCTGTGTCACCAAGAGCGAGTGTGACACTGTGTTTTCACTTTCTCAGCTGTACCACGCTAGCGTAGACTTCATTAATTAGCCTCCTGGCCTTTTCTCCTTCGAGACCATTCCCTACCTCCTCTTGCCTTAGTCTCTTGGAGTGCTGTGATTAGCGTGACCACCATGCCCAGCTTTCCCTACTCTTAACCGTGCTGCTGGCGGGTGCTGCCATCATTTCTGCACTACAGTGGGTGGACAGATGGTTGTGACGCTCAGCTCCCAGGTCCCATCAAACCCCAGGTCTGACTGTCTCTGCTTCGGCGGCGTGTGCAGCGAAAGGCAGTGTGTGGGGGAGAGATATCTGCGCACTGTAAGGAGAAAGCTCAGAAGCCCTGGAGCTTGCGGTTACAGTCATGAAAGGAACCCTTGCCAGGATCTCACAGAGACGTCACAGACTGTGGTATCTGCAGAGCAGTGGATGGCCCTCCCGAGGGGAGTGGATTCCCAGAGACCTGAGAACGGGAGACATGGGTTCTGGGACCCCCCATCATCCTAGGGGGGGTAAGGCTTGTGGCCTGTCCACAGGTGTTAATACCTGATGGTGAACCAGATGCAAGGGCAAGGCTGTCTTCTGAGAGATGTCTCCCCCTTGATCCTTTGGTCGCTTCAGACATTCCAGATGGAAGGAGGCCCTTCGACCTGCAAAAGTGGATAAAGAACTAGAATCAGGGCATGGGTGATGGCACCAGCCTATGACAGCTCTGCCACACTTTAGATCTACAACATCTAGCAAACGTCATGTCTTAAAGGCTTAGTCCCTAGTTTGGTACAACTGAAAGGAGGAGCCTCATGGGAGCTTTTCCACCTTTGATGATGTGTCTTTGAGAGAGATCATGGGACGTTGATCTCTTTCCCTCTGTTATATTTCTGGCCAGGAAGCAAAAGGCACCTTTCCCATTATGATGCTACACCTTGCCACAGGCTCAAAAGTAATGAGTCGACCTTCCAAAACCGTGAGCTCAAAATTGTCTTTCTTATTTTTAAGCTGATCATGCCAGATGTTTCCCTATAGTGATAGAAAGCTGACAGAGAGAGACTCATTCTCAGGTGAGGTGCGAGGGCTAGTGCTATCTGTCCCAAGCTTTTTTTTTTTTTTGCCTCAGCTTATCTCTGAGACATCTGAGTAGTCAATGTCTAGGTCCCATTCCAACAAACTATGTCTTTGGAGAACTATCTTCCTGTGGAATAATCTTTTTGTACACTGTGAAGATGTGTCTTTGCCAAGGTGCCTTCTGATTGATTTAATAAAGAGCTAAATGGCCAATAACTAGGAAGGAAGAAGTTAGGCAGGACTTCCTGGGAGAGAGAGAAAAGAAGAGGAGATGAATCTAGGTATGCGAGAGACACCAGAGGACATGAAGAGAAAACAGGAGGTACAAGATGGAAGAGGGGTAAAAAGTTCACAGGCAAAATGTAGATTAATATAAACGGGTTAATTAAAGTTATAAGAGCTAGTTAGAAATAAACCTAACCTAAGGCCGAGCTTTCACAATTAATTCGTTTCTGTGTCATGATTTGGGGGCCGGTGGTCCAAGAAAGCCTGCCATATCATCTTGTCAGTGTGCACATCTACCAGCCCATCTCGAGAGGCCGCCTCAGTGGGCTCAGGTTCTCAGTTGTCCCTGGTGTCTGACCATTGCCACCCTGGAGGCGATGGCTGTCTGCATCTACAGGGCAGTCCGTGAATTTACCTAGAGAGGCAGAGCGGAGGAAACTCCTCTTCGGAGACTGCTGCATCTCCCTCTTGTCCTCCTCTGGGGATGTCAGCTGCCGGTTTTCATCATCCTGGTAGGAGAGACTGGAACAGAGAACCCTTAGCGCTGGCTCCTGAAGGATGAGGGGCGCCACCCACCAGGACAGCTGCTCTCCCCAGAAGCAGTTTCCATTTTCCTTAGTGAAGGCAATGCCCATGTGTGTGCCTATACTACAGGTGTGGGGAGCAGGTAGCAAGGTGTGCTAAGAGACTTGTGTCTGCACTTAGGCACTGTAGTTGTTTAACAGGCCTGCATGTTGCTATGGGGGTGGGAGGATGTCCCAGCTCTTGATACATATGCTGTGCAGGAGCCTTGTGGTTGATTTTTTTTTTGTTTATTGTTTTCCCATGGGCTGAGGGCTGGAATTGCAGGCCTCATGCATGCTAGACAAGTACTCTAACACCGAGCTGCTATCCCATCCCCGAGTCTTGCATTTCTAGTTTCAGCCAGTGGAGGCTCTCTTGGTTATAGAGAAGTAGGAAGAATTCTAGGCCTAGAGCATTCTTTCAGAAGCATCTTAGATGCTTGCCTGTCTTTACATAGTAGTTCTATGCTGTTCACTTTGGTAACGCTGCCCCAAGATTCCCCCACCTCTCCAATTCTTCTCTGTGTGACTATCTCTTCACTGTCAAAAGCATATATGTCACAGTCTGTAGTGATCCTGCAATCATCCGGTTTGTAGATAGCAGGACAGTAGCAGCAATTAAGACAACCTTCCTAATGCGGTGACTCTTTAATACAGCTTCCCAGGTTGTGGTGACCCTCAACCACAAAATTATTCTCATTGCTACTTCATGATTATAATTTTGTTACTGTTATGAATCATAATGTCAATATTCATGTTCTCCAAGAGTCTAGGCGAATCTCAAAGGGATGGCTACCCATGGGTCTCTGAGAACAACTGCCCAGGGCCTCTAGTTGAGGACTTCCAAGATTTTTGATGGTGCCTCATAATGAAAACTATATCATACCTATCCCCGGTATCAGACATCCCTAGCCATGTGAGACCCTGCACTTTTTTTGCAAGCCACTCTCTAATTCAATTTCTCTGTTACTGTAGTCGGTATTATTTTTTTCAGTGACTGTTGGCCATCACCCACTGAAGTCAATCAGTCTTCAGTTTGAGAAGCACAGTTACATTCCAGCCCCCAGTGGTGTAGATTAGATCACAGACTGCCACCACTAATACTCTTTTCTTAAGTTTACTTTTTTTTTCTTTTCTTGCAATGCTGAGGATGGAACACAGGACCAAGAGCATGCCATGAAAGCATCCTACCACGGAGCTAGGCTTGAAGGCTGACACTGTGCAGCCTGCTTCCTGACTCCACCCCTGCAACCAAGCACAGTGATTCCAAGAACATATATCTGTGCAGGGAGTTTGGGACATGAGGATCTCATATTCTTATGCTGCCCAAGCCGTGCATCTATTCCCAGCTAGATAAGCCCTCCCCAGTACATTTTCTTCTTACTTAGCTGTCCCCATTCTTGCAGACCTGACTTCTGCTTGGTCTGCTACACAACACCAGCTACACTGCTTCTGGGCTTGTTCAGATGTCTGTGTCCCTTGGCACTGGTACTACTCTATGGGCACTTGGTTAGAAAGGTCCACATTTTCTTCCTTTTCTTAGCTTCCTAACTAGTTAGTAAAATCTCCTGGATTTGAAGCTGGCCTTTTCGGAGTTAGGTAAGCATGCAGTAAAAATAGGAATCTCTCCATCCAGGCCTTTCTTAACTTTAAGGGCCCGAGAAGCTGGTGCATACCAAAGCACTTTCAGGAATGTGAAGGGTGTGTGCAGTAGACCTAAAAGTTTCACAAGGAGCCTAGAGAGGCACATACTTAAGCACACATGTCATAAACAATATTTACTCTTGTAGTACCTTTCTGTTGTCTTCTGCTGTTCTTCTATTTTATTTATTTGTATCAATTATTATTAACTGCATATTTATGAGGCATGGTGTGACCATCTGACATATGTAGAGAACATGTGATGACTAAGTCTAGGAGTTAATGCCCACTTCCTTAAACAGTAGTCTGCTGACGGGTATGTAATAGACAGTATTTCTGGGGTGCACTGTGCCAGTTCAGCAGACATGGACAGTACGGCATGAACGTTCCATCTTTTTACATTACTTTGGGTTTGGCACCTTTGAGGTCATTTTTACTAGGTATTCATAAAATATGTGCTGATCCAATTCTTAAGAGCACTGGTCCTAGCCAGTCAGTGGTGGTGCATGCCTTTAATCCCAGTACTCGGGAGGCAGAGGCAGGTGGATCTCTGTGAGAGTTAGAGGCCAGCCTGGTCTACAAAGTCAAGTTCCAGGATGGCCAGGGCTACACAGAGAAACCCTGTCTCAAAATAACCAAAACCAAAACCAAAAAAAAAAAAAAAAAGCACTGGTCCTTCTCACCAGATGAGCCCTACAGTCATCCAGTGGATCTAGATGGAAGCGAAATATTCCCAAGAGGTATGCCAATTGTGCCTCTTCTGGGCAGACTTAGAAGAAGCTATTCCAGAACACGTTTATTTAAGCATCATATATGTCTACTGACTCACACTAAGAAATACACCTATAACTTGATCTCACAGTTTAAGAACAATATTGAGAAGGCTTCCTGGAAGTGTTCTGCAGTGAGACCACTCAAACTGCAGAGGGAAGATGTTACTGATACGCCATTGTCTGTCCCAGAGGAGGGGTTGATGGGGGAGAGTCTTCTGTTTTGTGTTAATTTCATTGGTTAAATAAAGAGACTGCCTCAGCCCTTTAATAGGACAGAAAATTAGGTAGGTGGAGTAAACAGAACAGAATGCTGGGAGAAAGAAGCTGAGTCAGAGAGTCGCCATGATTCTCCCACTCCAGACAGACACAGGTTAAGATCTTCCCTGGTAAGCCACCTCGTGGGTTACACAGATTATTAGAAATGGGTTAGATCAATATGTAAGAGCTAGCCAATAAGAGGCTGGAACTAATGGGCCAAGCAGTGTTTAAAAGAATACAGTTTCCATGTAATTATTTCTGGGCATAAGCTAGCCATGTGGGCGGCCGGGTGCCGGGGACGCAGTCCCTCCACTCCATCAACAAGGGGTCTCAGCACTGCTCCAGAGCCCCCACCCTTTCCTACACTTTGGGTCACCTGAGCAGAAGGCTTACATATCTGTGGCGAGCAGGCTAGGCTCACTGCAGTACTCGGTGTCCTCACTCATCCTCACGCTGCAGGTCTCATTGGGGAACATCTCTTGACTCACGGAGGCCCCCTGGCTCTCTCGGGAGTGGCACCTGCAGCATCCAGAGTGGAGAAAGGCATCAGCATCTTCCAGCCCCCCCTGCCTCTTCCTCAGCAAGGAGGACGACCCTGGGCACAGGCAGAGATAGTCCCACGGCTTCTGATGAAGCCGCAGAGCCATAGATGCCACAAGCTATGTCGGGGCTGTATGGGAGAGTCAGGAAGGTCTGAATTCTGCCTTTGCTCACTTACTCTTCAGCCCAAGACCTTTAGCTCACCCCGTGCCTCAGTTTTCTCCTTGATGACACTAGAGTAACACATGCCCTGTCTGGTGTGGAGGCCTAGTCAGTGGACTGATTGTCACACAGCACGAGGATCTGAGTGCCAGCCTAGCTCCTGCCTGGAGAAGTAGAGGGCACAACTAGCTGAACGGGTGAGCTCCAAGTTCAGTGAGAGACCCTGTCTCAGTGGACTGTAATTGAGGAAGACATCTGACATCAAATCTCTGGCCTCTAAACACACACACACACACACACACACACACACACACACACACACGAGCGCATGTACCCCTACACAACCCTGAACATGCACAAAGACAGAAGTGGGGAAGGCTTGGTTTTGAAGCAGAGTTCTGAACTGTGCAATTATCACAGGGTTGTGGACAGCTGAGCCTTTAGGTGACTGTTTGAAACTGGTAAGTCCCTGGATCATATTCAGTGTGCTTTGTTCTGACTCTGAAGTGAAGACATGGGAAAGAAACTTCACATAGAGGGCTTGCTCTATGCAGGCAGAATAAGCCCGAGGCTGTGCTGAGCCTGGGTATTTCCTGAGCTAAAGAACCTGCCACACCTGAATGTGCCTTTGAATAGAATGCTGTTGCTCCTGGGACAGGTCCTCCTGCCCATTCGGGCATTTCTTCTCCAACTCTGGTCAAGTGCTCTTCCTCTCCCTGTGTGTGGTTCAATACTTTTCTGTAGCTCTGTTCTCATGGACCCGGCATATCAGGGCCCTAGGCCCATGAGAACCTACTGTTGTTTACTACACAGACACGCTGTCAAAAGTATTTATACCTAGTGCCCTGCTCAGCCTTGGTCAGGGACGCTTCTTTTAGCTGGGAGCAGCAGGGACTCATAGGTGAGTGCTGAGAATCATTTACTGTTGAGAGCTCAGTCCTAAACAAGACATCTGCATCACTCCTTCTGAGGGGAGAATGGGTAGTAAGCTGGAGGATTCCACTGTTTGCTGCCTTCGCACAAGCCTGGGTCTATCAACATGCCATCATGGAGGGGTCAGGGCTCAAGAGGCCACACCCTCCACGAGGAGTGATTGGCTGGGGGAGGAGAATGGGTAACCTTCAGTGTGTAACCTTTCACCCACTCTTATCCAAGCAACCCTAACTAAACTCAGCAAGCCACATAAAAAAGAAAGGCAGGAAAGTAGGGAGGAGACGAGTGGGAGTGGAAAGAGATAAGAGAGAGTGATGGAGGGCAGAATATGACGGAAATATTATAGATGTGTGTGAAACCGTCAAAGAAAAAGCTAGACAAAATGAAAGTTTAAAAAAGTTAGAAGTTCCAAAGAACAGTACTCAACTTCATATGGAAAAGCAAAAATCTCAGGCTAGCCAAAACAGTCCTATAAAGGAACTTCTAGAGGCATCATAATCCCAAACTTCAAACTCTACTACAGAGCTACAGTACTCAAAATAGCCTGATATTGTCAGAAAAGTAGACAGAAGGACCAACAGAACCAAATTGATGACCCAGATATCAACCCACATACCTACGAACTCTTGATTTTTGACAAAGAAGCAAACAAATATAAAATGGAAAAAAAAAAGCATATTCAACAACTGATGCTGGCATAACTGGATATCAACATGTAGAAGAATGAAAATAGATCCACATCTATCACCATGCACAAAACTCAAGTCCAAACGTATCAAAGACTTCAACATAAAAGCAACCACACTGAATCTCACAGAAGAGAAAGTGGGAAGTACAATTGAACATATTGGCACAGGAGATCACTTCCTAAATATAACCCCAGTAGCACAGACACTGAGAGAAACAATTAATGAAAGGGACCTCCTGAAACTGAGAAGTTTCTATAAAGCAAAGGACATGGTCAACAAGACAAAATGGCAGTCTGCAGAATGGGAAAAGATCTTCATTAACCCCACATCAGACAGAGGCCTGATCTCCAAAATATACAAAGAACTCAAGAAGTTGGTCATCAAAAGAACAAATAATCCAATAAAAAATGGAGTACAGACCTAAACAGAGAACTCTCAACAGAGGAATCTAAAATGGCTAAAATAAATACACTTAAGGAAATGCTCAACATCCTTAGTCATCAGAGAAATGCAAATCAAAACACCTCTGAGATTCCATCTTACACCTGTAAGAATGGCCAAGGTCAAAAACACTGATGACAACTTATGCTGGAGAGGATGTGGGGTAAAGGAAACACTTCTGCATTGCTGGTGGGAGTGCAAGCTGGTACAGCCCCTTTGGATGTCAGTATGATGATTTCTCAGAAAATTAGGAAACAATCTTCTTCAAGACCAAGTAATACCACTTTTGGGTATATAACCAAAGGATGATCACTCATGCCACAAGGACATGTGCTCAAATATGTTCACAGCAGCTTTGTTTGTCATAGCCAGAACCTGGAAACAACCTAAATGCACCTCAGCTGAAGAATGGATAAGGAAAATGTGGTACATTTCTGCTGAGTACTACACAGCAGAAAAAATAGGCATCTTGAAATTTGTGGGCAAATGGATAAATCTAGAAAACATCATATTGAGTGAGGTTACCCAGACCCAGAAAGACAAATGTCATATGTACTCACATATAAGTGTCTTTTAGACATAAAGCAAAGAAAAACCAGCCTACAATTCAATCCCAGACAACCTAGACAATGAGCACCCTAAGAGAGACATACATGGGTCTAATCTACATGGGAAGTAGAAAAAGAAAAGATCTCCTGAGTAAATGGGGAGCATGGGGACCATGGGAGAGGGTAGAAGGAGAGGAGAGAGGAAGGGAGAGGAGCAGAGAAAAATATATAGCTCAATTAAAATAATAAAAAAAAGTTAGAGTTTTTGCAAGGCATAGGAGGGAAGAGCTGGTACTAGGACTAAATCCTCAAAGGTGGGACAGAAGTGGCATTGCAGAAAAGGGTGGGGCCACCAGAGCAGGCATGGGACAACTGCTTCATCTTAATAATGCCCTAGGTGGAGCCAACCGTCAGAGCAGCACACACTCCCTGTGTGTAGAGACCTCCTGGGTCCAAGGGCTCAGCCTGCAATGTTGTTGGGTGGTTAGAGCAGCTAGTGTCCCAGAGTATATACCAGGTAGGATGGATGCCATGGCAATAGCCATTCAAATGCATGGGCCATGGAGACTTGCATGTAGCCACCTAGAAATGGGATGGTGTGAAAACCAGTGAGCAGGTACGCTGCTCTGTGGGTAGCAGATCAGGACACTTGGGATTTGAAGAGATGCCTGAAATTTTTGATTATAGTCTAGGCCAGCGGGCAAGGGAAAGGACAGTCATACTGTGAACTGGTAGGCTGGAAGGGCAGCGAGGTAAGGGTGATGAAGAAGATGCAGAGGGTGTCCTCTCCCATCCTGGCTCAGGAGTCTACAGCCAATGGAGCAGGTAAAGAGGGGACCTTTTAAGGACCATGCTTCCTTAAGCTACAGAGGTGGATATATTGCCTAGTCTCATCAGGATGAAAAGCCAGGCTTAGGGACCTGGGAAGGGGCAGGCGCTGGTTTTGTTGCACAGGCCCAAGTCACACATCTTGGAGAGTCACAGGTCAATATGCTGAGGAGGGATGAGGGGGAAAGGACTGTCAGAGGTATGGCATCTCAGAAGACATCTGGAAGACAGAGTAACTTTATCACTGTCATTGCGATGTGTGAGCAGGAGCGGATGGGGGGTGACAAGCTGGCTCCAACCTTTAGTTCAGAGCAGCAGTCTCCACCAGAGTTTGGCGGCTGTGCAGAGGCTGGGGGATCTAAGTCTGTCTTTCCTGGTATCATCTGGCTAGGGCATGTGAAGCCTCATGCCCAGGCCTATCACCCTGCTTACCTCTTAGAGCTGAGCTTCCAAGCTGCCTCCTGTACCCGGACAGCAGGGGACAAGGGAGGCCCATGGCCCTCCACAGTGCTGACTGTGCTGGAGTAGCCAGTGGGGTGGGGGAAGCGACCCAGGGCAGTGTTGTTGGCATTGTTGATGTTGGCATTGGAGCCTGTGGATGAGTAGCTGCTGGGGGTGAAAGTGGAGTCCACCAGTTTCTCATGGGACGGCGACTCCGTGTCGCCCTGGCTGTTTCCCGTCTTGTTGATGTGCAGCGGGCGCTGGGTCGTGAAGGTCTGGGGAAAGTTGCTCCTGCTGTCGCTCTGATAGTAACTGACATGGTTGCCAAACAGGCCTCCAGCCCTCTGTAGACAAGAGAGAGGAGTAGGTGGAGAAGGCTTCTCCGCATTCTCTCTCTCCTCCTTCCCTCACCCCCTCTAAGAAGCACAGACCGCAGGAAGTCATCTTGCCCTCCAAAGAGGCACACACTCTGGGCACATGGGAGAGGGAGGACTTAGATGCTCAAGGTTCCACAGTTCCCTCTACATGTAACACCATGATATGAATTCCCTCATGGGCCTGGGCAGGCAGGAGGTTGCTGGTCTAGAAGCCTCCCTGGAAGTCTGTTCCTAAGGGAACACCAGAGACTGAGGCTGGGTTTCAAGGACAAGTCTAAGATGAGTGTCTTTCACAGAAACCAGCTGCTTAGCTTGGTGGAGCTCGCTGTGGGTGCTGAGGGGTGGGAAGAAGGAACGGAAGAGGTGAACCAGATTGTTTTAATGGAAACACAACTGGTTTGTGGAGCGACAAGCTGTATTGGGCAAGTTGAAACTAAGAAGAAAGAGTTTACTGTACTGATTATAACACGACTTCCTTTCCTGTAGGGGTTCTTTGAGATTCAAAATCAGGAACAAATATTTTTCTCCAATATTTCTTCTTTGTCCTGGAGCAAGGGGTCTGGGGAATAGTGGTTGGCAAGGTTTGCCTAATGTGGTATCTGAAGGTCCTCGGGAGCCAGACCTGGGGAACTAGAAGGGAGGGAGTCGGATGGGAGACTGTGGGCTCATGGCCCAGCAGTGTGTGGATTTACTCACTGCCTTAATGTTTTGCACTGCAGGGAAAGAGCAAGAGGCCTGGAGGGGACCCTGTGGCTTGGAGATCACATGCTCCATCTTAACAAGACAACCACTGCTGTCCAGCTGTGCATAGGAACTCACACCTAACATGGCCACTTAACCTTATTTCTTCTCTCCAAGAAAAGTCAGAAGTTTGTATTTTTATTTAGCTAGACCAAATGTTCAAATAGTGGTAAATAAAATAGATTTTCAGATTATAAGAAACCCAGAGTTCCTACTCCACACCTTCTGATGAGAAACTTCTCCCAGAAAATGTCTTTACAGAAGCAGACATCCCCTGTTCTCTGAGAGTTGGCCATATTTTGAGCTGCTGTGTCCTAGGAGGAAGTCATGGTACGGAGTTGGCTTGGAAAGAAGGCAGGGAATGGGGAGACAGCTGACTAGGAAGAACGTGGCACCCCTCGGAGAGATCAGGAGAACGCTAATTTAGCACATTGTTGCTCCTAACTGAACTTGGTGAAGACACTCGTCATGGCACTTACCCTGAAGATGTCGTCTTCAGAGGCAGCGGACACAGCCTCCTTCATAGCCTTGTCCAACTCTTCCTCAGCGGTGAGATCCCCAGAGATGGCCCGTCGGATCTCAGGCCCAATGTCATGCAATGTGCGCAAGCCAGCCTGGAATCCAGAGGGACATGTGAAGACCCAGGTCCTTTTCACTGATCTTTAGTCAGCCAGGACCCTGTTGCTCCTCCACAAGTCCCTGCCTCTCTGTTTCTCTGCCAGGCAGCTGGGCACCCACACCAGAAGACGGGCTTCCTTGGACCCCCATCCCCACCTCACCCAACCACGCTAGAGCAGAAGAACCTATTCCTCTACTAGGAGGAATGAAGACATATTACAGACCACCAAGAATCTGCTGAATCAGGAGCAGAGGGCTAAGAGGACTGGGGGCTGGGAAGGCTGGCAGGACGGTTGAGGGAAGGATGTGGGCAAGGATGCATAAGGGGAAGATCGCATTGCCCTTTCATCGCCACTTTCAGGGAGGTTTAGAGAGCTCACAAGCTTTCTTGGGATGGGACCTGGCCTCTAGGTAGCTGGGCAAGACTTGGACTCTGGCTAGGGTCAAGGGGAGGTGACCAAGCCCTGAGTGTGGGTACCTCCCTCCATCCCCTCACCTGCAGGGACAGTGCATTCCTCTGAGAAGGCTTGCCCACCAGCCCCTGCTCTTTTCGCTTCTTGAATTTTCGGAAGTACTCTTGGATCAGGAAGGTGGCATAGAACTTGCCGACTGTGACCTCGTCATCTAAGGCACACAGAGAGAAGAGGATGAGCGATTCTGCCAGAACTCCTTGATTGTTTGCAGCACCGAAAGCTTCTCTAACATATTTGCTTTGATTTCTTAGTGCAAAAGCAAACACGTAAAGAGGCATATGGCTGAGAACTCCCCACATCCCTGCGTGCTTGCTTACCACCTCTCGACAGCTCGTCACACCACCAGTTTCTTGAGTTCTTTTTCCAGAAATAAGCAAGCATGTTCATATCCTCCTTTTTCCAAAATGTTTTCTTCTCTCATATATTGCATCCCAACCTCAATTTCCCTTCCCTCCATTCCTCCCAGGCTCTATCCCTCACCCCCACTTTGCTAGATTCACACCTCCATTTCCCTTCAGAAAAGGGAAGACCTCCCAGGGATATCAACTGAACATAGCATAATAGATTACAATAAGGCTAATATTAAGGTTGGATGAGGCAGCCCAGTAGGAGGAAAAGGGTCCCAGGAGCAGGCGAAAGAGTCAGAGACAGCCCTGCTTACACTGTTAGGAGTCCAGCAATAACACCAAGCCACACAGTTATAACATATATGTAGAGGACCCGACTCAGACCCACGCAGGCTCCTGACGGTCGCTTCAGTCTGTGAGCCCCTGTGAGCCCTGCTTAGCTGATTCTGTGGGCAGTGTTCTTGTGGTGCTCTTGACCCATCTGGTTCCTACAATCCTTCTTTTTCCTCTTCCTTTTTAATTAAGACAATATCTCCCCATCTTGTCCAAGTGGCCTTCAATTCTAGGGATCAAATGACCCATTCCCTCCTGAGTAGCTGAGACCAGAAGTGTATGCTGATGTCTATGCCTGGCTGTTTTTGTCTCAGTTTTCCCCTCACAGAAAAGGAAGGTTATTATCAAGGTTACTTCCCACTTTGCTTTTCCCACCACCTTGAATGGACATTACTAAGTCTTGTTTGATCCCACTTACCACCAAATGACCAGTCTCCTAATTGCCAACACAATTCTAATTGGGTGAGATGGGCTAGTGGCAGGGGAGTCTTCCTTCAAGGTTGGCCATTTCCCTTCCAGCCAACTCGCTGGCTTAGACCATGTGTCCATGCTGGGCTGAACACACAAAACTACACATGACATGGTCTTGATCTTAGGAGTAAGCTAAATGTTAGGAAAGTCCTCAGGGGGAGTATTTCATGGAAATCAAGTGGTCCCTTCATCTACTTTCCTGCTCTGTGTGAGAAGAACAGATGGTTGGGCTGGGCCTCAGGACCTGCAATGGCTTTCCTGTCCTCACTGTCCTTTAGAGTAGCCAACTCTACAGAAGCTCTGGACTTAACCACAGGGCAGGGTCTCATTTCCACACCTGGAAAACCCTGGAGATCCCTGACGAGGGATTTGGGAATGAACTTGGGAGTCCTGTGTTCGCTCAGGCCTGAGTCGGATGCCTGAGTCTACACTGTACCCACTGGGAAACCCACATAGCTTCTACGAACATCGTTTCCTGGAGTGAACTTCATAAAGATGAAGCAGCAAAGTATTAGGTGACACAGGCTAACTCCTAGCACACCGTGCCTTCCCCTTTGGACGGGGTCTCAAACAGGAAGTCTCACCTCCAAAGGATGTTTCCAGAATCTGTAGGCTCAACTAACATGTTAATAGGATGTAAATGACACATGTAAAGTGTTGACAGTACTCAGCGCTGTCTTGCTCACGTTCAACAGTTACTCCTGTTCAGTGTGAGGGTCTCATCGGTTATTATAGCTTTCTGTATGGGTGTACCAGGCATTTTTATAGTGAATGCATTTGCTTTTAACCCATCTCATTTTAAAGCATTCTACTAGTGCTGTGGGAACTACAAGTGCAGGCAGGGTACCTATGAATTTGACTTGGGATTACAGGAGGGATGGTGTGAAGCACTTGCTATGGAAGGAGGCTTGTGGCCTGACAGGCATGAGAAATGCTACTCTAGGGAAAAAAAAGAGCTTTTAAAAAGATGGGATGAGAATTGTGGTTCCGTGCTCCCCTGTCCAACCTTCCTTTATCCCAATCCTCCTGCTTTCCCAAGGCCCTACCTCCTTCCCTTCTAACTTTTCTCTCCCCATCTCCCCTTACCCCCAACCCACCCCACCCCAAGATCCCAATTTTCTCCCCGGCAATTTTGTCTACTTCCCTTAGCCAAGAGGATAACTATATGTTTTTCCTTGGGTTCCCCTTCTTACTTAGCTTCTTTAGATTCACCTATTGTAGACTCCGTGACCCTTATTTATGGTTAGAAACCAATTATGAGTGAGTACATCCCATGTTCATCTTTTTGGGTCTGGGATACCTCACTCAGGATAGTGTTTTCTATTTCCATCCATTTGCATGCAAAATTCGAGAAGTCATTGTTTTTTACCGCAGCGTAGTACAACCACTTTAGGGTGGGCAAGAGACCTGACCCTAGAGGGGCTTCCAGGTGCCCAAGCTGAGGTCCCCAGTTAGTTCCTTGGGCAGTTGAGAATAGGGAACCTGAAATGACCCTATCCTTGAGCAATACTGACGAATATCTTGCATATCATCATAGAACCTTCATCTGGTGATGGATGGAGATAGAGACAGAGACCCACACTGGAGCACTGGACTGAGCTCCCAAGGTCCCAATGAGGAGCAGAAGGAGGGAGAACATGAGCAAAGAAGTCGGGACCACGAGGGATGCACCCACCCACTGAGACAGTGGAGCTGATCTATTGAGAGCTCACCAAGACCGGCTGGACTGTGACTGAAAAAGCATGGGATAAAACTGGACTCTCTGAACATGGCGAACAATGAGGGCTGATGAGACGCAAAGGACAATGGCACGGGGGTTTGATCCTACGTAATGTGATGGCTTTGTGGGAGCCCAGCCAGTTTGGATGTTCACCTTCCTAGATATGGACGGAGGTGGGAGGTCCTAGGTCTTACCACAGGGCAGAAAACCCTGACTGCTCTTTGGACTGGAGAGGGAGGGGGAAAGGAGTGGGGGGAGGGGGGGAAGGGTGGAAGAGGGGGCGTAGGGGGGGAGGAGGGGGAGGGAAATGGGAGGCTGGGAGGAGGTGGAAACTTGTTTTTTTTTTCTCCTTTTCTCAATAAAAAAAATGAAAAAAAAAAAAAGATGGGATGAGTCTCAGGCACTTTTCCTTCCAGAGCTCTAGAGCAACTCTAGAGCAGTCAGCCCAGTGGTTTATGGGTAAATCTATACCCATATATGGTAGAGTTCCCACAAAAGTTCTGCCAAACTCCTAAGCATGGAAGGGCTTGCCTGTTCCCAGGGTGAATGTGGCATTACAGCAGGTTTCTAACGGGGTAGTTTACATCCAAGCTTGTGTAGGACATAACAACCAAGTAGGGCCTCTGAGTCCACGGAAGGGTCCAGAGAAAGAAGGATCCAGAAGCATGGAGGACTCAAGCATGGAAGTCTCAAGGGCTGTCTGCACTGCCAAAGATGGAATAGCTAGAGAAGGTGGAGAAGCCCTACAGGCTGGGCTAGAGTAGCCCTTGTGTGGGAATGCAAGGAACACTCACCACCTGCAGGGGGCACCACCTGGTCCAACAGCTTCATGCTGGTCCTCTTCCAGATTTTCTTGATGATGGCCCGCAGCTCCTCATTGGCTTGTTCTAGGTTTCCTGATAGAAGGAAGTGCAGACTGAAAACACCCCCCCCCCACTGTGCTGGGAAGCCCCACAAGTCACCCTGACTCATCACATTCTGCTCCCCAATCTTCCTACTTTCTAGTTCCTTCCATTTTCCCTTCCCAGATCTCTTTACTTACTTCCTTTCCTTGTGACTTTCCTCTCTTGCCTTGGCCAACGCCATTCTCCTTCATTTCCTACTCCACTGTAAGACAGCTCAAAGCCCAAACCCAGCCACTAGCTGTGTTCCCTCCTGCTTAGTGCTGAAGAGTCTGATGGTGCCTGCAGACACTCATGTTTCAGCTCTGATACTGTTTGTACCGCAACTGACCCTGAGGCTGACATTTTACAATGACCTCCGTGGTGACCCAAAGGGAGTGGCACTATTAGGAGGTGTGGCCTTATTGAAGTAGGTGTGGTCTTGTTGGAGGAAGTGTGTCACTGTGGGGACGGGCTTTGAAATCTTTTTCTCAAGCTTCACTCAGTGTGTCAGTCAGTTGACTTCCTGTTGCCTGCAGGATGTAGCACTCTCAGCTCCAGCACCACATCTGCCTGCACGCTGCCATGCTCCCCACCATGATGATAATGGATTGAACCTCTGAAACCGTAAGTCAGCCATCCTCAAGTAAATGCTTCCTTTATAATAGTTGCCATGGTCATGGTGTCCCTTCACAGCAATAATAAACCCTAAGACAGAAGTTGGTACCAAAAGTGGGGAATTGCTGTGCTAAGCCTGACCATGCTTTTATATGGAGGAATGAGGACTTTGGAACTCTGGGTCAGGCAAGCAGCAGAATGCTGTAAGCACTGCGTACTTGGGCATACTAGTAGGAGCATGAAAGACAATGGTGACGGTAATGTTTGAAATGTCAGAAGCTGGCGCAAGAGGCTTCAGACAAGACTTATAATATGTTGTCTGAAAATTGTTCTTGTGATATTTTGGTGGAGAGAGTAGCTGCCTTTTGCCCTTGTCCAAATGATCTGCCTGAGGTTAAAGTGAAGAGTTTTAGATTAATTACCGTAACAGGAGAAATCTTAAAACAGCCTAGTATAAACTCTGTTGTGTGGTTTTTAGTGGCAACTCTAAAGAAGATTTATAATGAAAAGGAGCAAGCTGAGCAGGGCAAATTACAAAATGTAAATTTTGAGGAGAAAAAGAGCATCAGGAAGAGGAATGGACCTACATCCTTTGTTCAAGGAGATAAATGGATTGAGAAATGAAATAAAGGGAGTGGTGTCCTCAGGACAAGATCCTACTCAGATAAGTTCCCTGATGGAGGAAGGTCATTGGCTAATAAAGGAACTGCCTTGGTCCATTTTATTGGTTAGAAGATAGGTGGGAGGAGAAAACAGAACAGAATACTGGGAGGAAGAGGAAGTGAGCTCAGAGTCTCGACAGCTCTCCTCTCGGGAGCAGACGCCTGAGAGAGATGCCATGCCCCGCTCCTGGGATGAAGCTCCGACCCAGGATGGACATAGGCTAGAATCTTCCGGTAAGCGCACCTTGGGGTGCTACACACAGATGATTAGAAACGGGCTAAATTAATATGTGAGAATTAGCCTAGAAGAGAATGGGCCAAGCAGTGTTTAAATGAATACAGTTTGTGTGTTGTTATTTCGGGCATAAGCTAGCCGTGCAGGCGGCTGGGGTGCTGGGGATGCAGCCCCGCCGCCCTTATTACTACAGTTCCCAACTTGTGGAATGGAATAAATGAAAGTTTAGAGCCATGGGTGTTGGTGCAAACCTTTAATTCCAGCACTGAGAAGTCAGAGGCTGGTGGATCTCTGAGTTTGAGACCAGCCTGGTCTAAATAGCAAGTTCAAGGACAGCCAAGCTTAGGCAGTGAAGGAAAACAGAAAGCTGGTGAAGATGTAATTTAACATGGGGGCCATGTTTTAGCTCCAGTAAGCAGCAGAACTTGGCAACTTTGGCCACATGGTTCTGGCTTTAGCATTAAGGATAGAAGAAATGGGTTATGGAATTTGCCTCTGCACCCAAAGAAAGCCACTGAGGCCAGGAATGTGTCAGGGGTGTCCCTGAATGAAGGTCTAGTAGAGAGGCCATAGACTGAAGCTGTGAAGTTGAAACCTTGATTGCCTTGGAGAACCCAAGATGTTAGAAATGCCAGAGTCTTGGGATACCTGACAAAGAGAGCTGGTCACAGGGAGTCGAACCAGCCCAAGAGAAAGAAGTGTGTCGCAGTCAACAAAGCTGAATGGAGTTGGAGATCTGAAGAGCACATTGACATTAGACATAGAGATGCAGAGTTTGGAGTTTTCACAGCTGTTTTTTTTTTTTTGGTCTTGCTTTGGTCCAGTATTTCCTTGCTATGCTCCCTTCCCTATGTTTTGAAATGGTAGTGCATATCCTGTGACATTATATGTTGGAAGAATGTGATCTGATATTTGAGTTTGATTTTTACAAGTGATTACAGTTAAGAGATTGTCATGCTTCCCAGAAGAGACTTTGGATTTTGAAATAAGTTTGAGACTGTTATAGACTATGGGGAATTTTGAAGTTGGACTGAATACATTTTTGCATTATGATATCGCTATAAGCCTTTGGGGGGACAGGGAGTGGAATAAAGTGGTTTGAAAGAAAATGACTCCAAAGACAGTGGCACAAATAGGAAGTGTGGCCTTACTGGAGTAGATGTGGTCTTGTTGGAGGAAGTGTGTCAGTGTGGGGGTGGGCTTTGAGGTCTTTTTCTCAAGCTTCACTCAGTGTGACAGTCAGTTAACTTCCTGTTGCCTGCACTATATAGTACTCTCAGCTTCGGCGCCAAGTCTATCTGCATGCCACCATGCTCCCCTTCATGACCATAATGAACTGAACCTCTGAAACTGTAAGTGAGCCACCCTCAATTAAATGTTTCCTTTCTAAGAGTTGCTGTGGTCCTGGCATCTCTTCACAGCAACAGTAAACCCTGACTATGACAACCTCCTTGTGCGGTTGCAGGAAACAGAGATGTTTTGATGGAAGGATGATCCCCTCCTGCCCCACATATACACAACACAGGGGCACCCATGTGTCCAGAGGACCTCTACTGAATCTCCCAGGGAAGGAAGTAGAAAAAAACTAACAGTGGAGGCAGAAACCTGAAGACCTATGCTCTGGCAATTTGGATGAGATGCATGCTGCCTGGGACACTGGTCTCGTGCTGGTGGAGAAGCAAAGTTAAAAAGTAATCATAAGAAGAGGTGTGCTTGCCGGGTGGTGGTGGCGCACGCCTTTAATCCCAGCACTCGGGAGGCAGAGGCAGGCAGATCTCTGTGAGTTCGAGACCAGCCTGGTCTACAAGAGCTAGTTCCAGGACAGGCTCCAAAAAAAAAAAAAAAAAAAAAAAAAAACAAACCCACAGAGAAACCCTGTCTCGAAAAACCAAAAAACCAAAAAAAAAAAGAGGAGATGTCCTAGATAGGATTCCAGGGTTCTCCCAATGATACCTGCCCCTTGCCACCAGTGTGCACGCACTGTGTAATCCGTGGAGGGACTGCACACCAACAGAAATGGGAAAACTTCAGCCACAGTCTGAATGGGCTTGGCGGTGATACCTTCTCCTGGTTTAATTAGTGTACCTAGTTTGGTCTTGAGAGTCCCGAGTAGAGCACCCCACTTCTCTGTAGCTGGACTTCTAACAGAATTGTGAATTAGTAACTGGGTGTTCTTCGAAGCTGTGGAGTTTATGGGGTTTGCTGCATAGCACTGGGAAGAGGATATGGCTGTCAGTAACATCTATCATATGGGAGTTGATGGTGAACAATGTGAGTTGAGCTATGGGGTCAGACTGCCTGAGTTCAAACCCAGCTGCAGATGGTGTGTGTGATCAAGCAGAGACACTCACGAGGACTGCTTCTGCTTAAATGATGGCTCCTGAACATGCTGAGCACCACATTCAGACTGCAGCTGAAGACAGAACACCTCCTGGCCACTCCGACATCAGTTCCCTTCACTAAAGATCATTCATAGCTTCTCTTTTTGTTTGTTTTCTGAAACAAGAGCTTATTATGGATCCCTGCTTTGCCTCAAACTCATAATCTTTCTGTGTTGGGCTTCCAAATGCTGGGATTATAGGCATGTCCCGCCATTCTGGACTTGGTTTCTGACGTACGCGGTGAAAGAATCCTGACTATAACAATGTGCAAGTGAACTTATCTTCTGTATTGGGTTGAAAGGAGCATCCCCAAACTCATGTCTACCTGAAAACTCAGAATGTGAATTTATCTAGTGTGGTAGTTTGAATGTAACTGGCCCTCGTAAGCTCATAGGGAGTTGGCACTATTAGTAGGTATGGCCTTGTTGGAGGAAGTGTGTCAATGTGGGGGGTGGATTTTGAGGTCTCCTCTGTTTAACTTTCACTCAGTGTGACACTCAGTTCACTTCCTGCTGTCTTCAGATCAAGATGACTCTCAGCTCCTTCTCCAGCACCATGTCTGCCTGCCTGCAGTCATACTCCCAGCTGCCATGCTCCCTGCCATGGTGATAATGGATTAAACGTCTGAAACTGTAAGTCAGCACCTCAATTAAATGTTTTCTTTGTAAGAGATGCTGTGGTCATGGTATCTCTTCACAGCAATAGAAACCCTAACTAATACAGAAGTTGGTACTGGAAGTAGGGTGTTGTTGTGACAGACCTGACCACGCTTTTGTTTAAAGGAACATAGACCTTGGGACTGCGGACTAGAAAAGCAGTTGACTGCATAAAGTGCCACTTTATAGGCCATACTAGTAGGAACATGAAAGACCATGGCGCTGAATAAGGTTCGAGGAACTGTGAAGCCAGGCTTAGGAGGTTTCCGAGGAGAATTTCAGTGTATTGGCTAGAGATTGTTCTTGTGGAATTTTGGTGAATAATGTGGCTGCCTTTCACCCTTGTCCAAAAAGTTTGCCTGCAGCTAAATTGAAGAATTTTGGATTAATTTCCTTGGGAGAAGCAATATCAAAACAGCCTAGTACAAACTCTGTTGTATGGTTATTAGTGTTAGCTCTAATGAAGAAGATTTATAACGAAAAGGAGCAAGCTCAGAAAGTGAAAATACAAAATGTACAATCTGAGGAGAAAAATAGCATCAGGAAGTAGAATGGAGCTTAATCTGTGTTCGAGGAGATGATAAATTAAGAAATGGACTAGGTCATACTAGGTCATACTGTGAAGAGGGTGGCAGAGACTAAGGGATGGAGCCAGGTACCTGAGACTACCTGAAGCCAGAGAGAGACATGGAGCCCATTCTCCCCCAAGGCCTCTGGAAAGAACCAGGCTGCCAAAACCTTAGTTTGGGTGGTTCCTCTCTTAAATTGTGAGGGGAATCAAGCTCGTGATCATTTAGTTAGACCCAAGGAACAAATGTATCTTCCAAAGGATCCTACACATTTTTAGGCTTTCATTTATTTTCTTAACAACTCAATGTAACTGGAATTTCACCAATAATTGTTTCATATTGTAAATGTTTTATTTTTATTGTTCTGTTTTTGGTGCTGGGGTCTGAATCTTGGGCCTTGTGCATGCTAGGCACCTGCTCTACCACTGAGCTACATTCCAAACTCTAATTTAATACCATCTTCCTTCAGTGTTCCAATAGAAAATCTTGATACCTGGCTTGGGATAAGGTTTCTGGTTCTCAGGGTACATGTTAATTTTTTAATTACTTCCACTTCTTATAACTGCCTGAAGGGTGAGTGAAGACTGATCTGTCTTATCTCTATAAATGCTGATGTTTTCTCCCATCTCTTGTTTGACTGTGGTGTTGACTCCTGGTCTTATGGAACAAGTTCATAAAGGGCCTGTTTTGGATGAAGGTTCATTCTTGAATACTAGAGTATTACATGCCCTTGGCAGATATTCCCAAGAGTCTTTATGTTTAAGTGCTTTTCTTTAATTCTTAATTAACTGTATGTCCCACTGGCTGGTTTCTCTCTCAGGCATTCCCATTTGCTAACAGTGGTTATCTGCGGTTGAGTGCTTGGCAACCCTTCAGGTACTGGCATTATTTCATCGAGATCTGGTTTGCCTGTTCAGCGCATCTTCAGCATCACTAAATCTTGGCTGCTATGCACAAATCCTTTTTATTCCTTCCTGGAGCCAAAACCCACAGTATTAGTCTTTCTCAAGCCTTAAGTATCACAACACACTCCTTCTAGCAGGCATTCGGTCATTTCTCCTTGGAAAAGGAAAAGGAAGTCCTTCCCTGGGAATGGAAAGGAAGTAATATTCACTGTAGAAAAGCTGGAAAGGTCAGAGCTGAAAGAAGAATGTTCCACTACATGGATATTCAATATTAATTTATCAGCAGACATACTTCCAGTTTTGTCTGTTACATACATGTGCGCATTAAGCGTGTATTGGATTCTCTCATCAGCAACAGGCCTATTTATATCTACCCCCAGAATGAAGTTTTGCACTAACCACTAATGGATTTTTTTTTGCCTTTGCTTTTCTTTTTGTTTACCAGGAAAATTTGATCCATTTTTCTTTATTAAAGTTTGGCTCATTACCTTGACTTGTATCTTGCAGGATTGGTTTCTTGTTCCCTTATGTCTGTTACTCTCTGGAAGAGTACAACTAAAGAAGGCACCTCTCTGGGTGACCCTGTGAAATAAATGCCAAGTGCCACCGCCTTTCATTATTTCACAATATGGAAACCGAATCAAGGCAGTAAGTAGTTACACAATGCTGTGCCCTGTTGTATGAGATGCCCAGTGCCCTTCCACTGTACCAAGGACCCCGGCCGGAAGCCTGGGGCCCTCAGGTTGCACTAGTGGTGTCGATCTCTAGTTCATACATGAGATGTGTATGCAGCTATCTCCAAATGCAGGTTCTCATGTTCTCCCTCAGACATGTGGAGTCACAGATGCACTCAGTGCTTCAATGTAGCCTTCAGAGCATCTCACAATTCTGAGGCCTTTGCTCACTCTTACGAGATACCTAAGCTGGGTCTTGGGGAGCAGCAGCATCTTTGGAGGTGTGTACACATAGCCTATCCCAGAGCAGTTCAAAGTACTTATCAGTGAGATGACAAGAGATGCCTTCAACAAGACTGCTTCTAACCCATAGGGCAGCTCTTGGCCCTCTGTTGTATGCAGTCTGAGGGGTTATCATCTAAGTAGTAGCTTAGCTCATGTAGGCAATTGCAGGCAATGACCTCTATTTACCACAGTCACTGCTTGTCACTGTCACCTTTCCAACATAGGTCCTTTTAATTTCAGAAGAGATTTGAATGTTTGGGAGACAGGCCTGTCGCTAATACAAGGCCATCAGTATGGGGCTTGGTCCTGCTCTGTGTAACAACCATCTCTTCTGTGTTTTGCATTAAACCTTCAGTCCTCCCGAGGTTACCAGGGCAATTTCTAGGGTTTGGTGGAAAGGAAAGTTCAAAATGAATAAGCTATGGCAAGGGGGGACATTTAGGAACCAAAGAAGATATAAGCGTGGTGGTGCACCTCTTGGAGAGTTAGCATGCAGGTGTTATTCTGCTCTGATGCTGTGTAGGCAGGAGCATCTTCCTGGTAGGGATGCTAGACCTTCCCACACACCCTCCTCCCAGTGGTCCACGAGAGCCATTACCTTCTGTTTTGATCCTTAGGGCTGTCCTGACCAGGGCAAACAGGGTAGCATTAAACATGACTGTCCCATCGCTGTTCAGAGGCATGTTCATGGACACCAGGCGCTAGAGGGAGAAGGAGGCTCAATCAGTGACAAGGACAGGCAGTTCTTGAAGGCTCTGCACAACCCTTGTGACAGGGAGGCTGGGAGGTCCCTGGAAACTTGGATGGTTGCTGTTGGGAGTGGGAGGGGTACGTATATGGTCACCACAGTGTTTCCAAAGCTTTTCCAGGGAAAAACTAGGCTTTGGGGTAAGAACTCTTGTGCCTCCACATTCCTTAGACCCTTGGTTCCACAATGGGCTCCTTCCTGTTCTGTGCTCAGGCTTACAGACACGGCTATGCTATCTTCCAGCAGTAAGAACAGCCATCTGCCTGTCAGACATAATTATCCAACTCCAAAGAAAGGGAATAGGAGATGGCTATGCGGGGACAGCGTACCCCCTCTCTGCATACAGACACATTTATCCCTACTTCAGTCCTGTTCCCAAATTCACCACCCAAACAGGATTCTGTTGTTCTTCACCCCCAAACATGCTCCCTTGGCCTCCTCCCCCTCCCTTGGTGAGCCAGCAGCACACACAGGGGTCATCAGGAGAAAGAACAGTATGATGCCCACTGTAGATGGCAGTGGTGTCATCTCTTAGACCACATGACACCTTCCTGTGGATATCCTGTCAAGGGTTGTATTTTTCCCGAGTGAATGCATCATTGTGAATCTTGTAGACACCAAGGTAGAAAGCATCAGTCTGGCTTTTGGCCTTAACAGACCCACGTGGCAGTCATGACCTGTACACTCCAGCTCCCGCTACTGTGTGATCTTACATTTGAGTTGTACTTTCTACAGCTTGAATCCTAAATGTCATTCAAAAGCCATGCCATAAAAGCTCAGTTCCCAGCCTCAGTACTCTTGGGAAGTGGTGGACCCTTCAGGAGGTGGGGCCTAGTGGGAAGAAGTTACGGGAAACCATGCCCTTGAGGAGGGTATTAGGATCTTGGTCTTTCTTTCTACTTCTCTCCTTCTGAGGTCCTGAGGTGAGTGTGCTTCTTTCTCAACTGTAACGTTCCAAAGCTGCTACAGACTCAAAGCTCAGGCCTGACGATCACAGACTGAAGCCTCCAAAACTGTCAGTCAAAAGAAACTTTTTTTTTTTTTAACACAGGTTGAGCAACTGGGTACTTGTCACGGCACCAGGAAACAGAATGACAGAATGCTGCTGTTTCTCACATTTTCAGGACTCTTGGAGTTCTTTCTGGAATAAAGTGGGGTTCTGATGAGGGGAATCAGTCTACCATAGAGCATAAATCAAAGTTCCATGCCTCCCAAACTCCATTTCCCACAGATGGGTTATCCAAGGAGCTCAGTTATTGGCCATTGTGTTTCTTCTTCTCTATGGCTCTGCTCACTGCTATTGCTTTCCCCAGCTCTTTCCAAGCTCATCATAATTCTCCCTGGAAACACAGGATGGGGAGAACGGAGGTGGGATGGTGACCAAAGTCAGCTCTTCTCAGCAGCTACTGGGCCACATGGCAGGACCTAGAGCAGGTATAAGGATCTCTCCTCTCCAGGTCAGTCAGAGGCTGTTTATCAGCGCCCAACACGTTTGTTCCAGGTGGTTCGGGATCACAGATTCATTTAGGAATTTGATAAAAACAGCAGGTCCTTGTGTAAGTAAAGTCTGTATTTTGGGGACGATACATCACTTGTGGCCTCTCTAACAGTTCTCTGACTTCGGGTCAAAGTTTTTAGTTCATCACCCTAGGTTAGGAGAGTCTCCTAGGCCTGGGCTGTGCAGCCTGAGGGGCCAAATAAGCCCTTTATCCACACAGGATATCTCTTTCCCTCACTGGGGAACAAGGGATTCATTGTGACAGTTGTTCTTTTATAGCCTTGGGACTTTAGCTCTGGAAGGTCCTTAAAATAGAATCTGGTTCACATTTATTTCTTTAAATACCTAAAATATCTTTATTCCCCAAATAATCACAAAGGCAAACAGGCATCCAGCTTCCCGTATTTGTCCTCCCCGCTCAGTAGCCCAGGACATTTCTTACTTTGCAGGCCACACGGTGTGGACACAGCTTCCCAAAACCTAACGGGGGCTGAATTCGACGGAGGAGAGTCACCACATCCAAGTGTTTGATCCGACCCCTAGAGAAGGAAGGAGAGAAGGAAGGAAGTTAGAAGCCCAGGGCTTGTGTACTGGGGTGGGGCCAGATGTAGGGGCATTCCCTGCAGGGTGCCTGAAGGCCCTGGACAGTGCAGAGATCCATTATAGAATGGCAAACCCAGGGCGCATGTTACTGTTCTCAATCCAGGAGAAGTTTGTTAGTGCTGTGCTCCAGGTAGAAAGGATTCTGGTAGTGCCATTAAGTCCCAGGAGGTATTTGTTGCTCAATCAACTAACCATTGGGCCTGAAGGCATTTTAGGGATACTCAGTTAACAGTTACGGGTAAACAGGAGTTTCCATAAACTTGAGGTCGAGATGACACTGAAATAAATCTATGTAATTCTAAATGACCCAAAGGAAGCATTACTAGTTGCATCTGATGTTAGAATTTTTTACTTTTTCCATTCAGCTGATATGCCCACCAGGTGTAAGAATGGTACCTGGCCTCCACCTGCTGGCCTTTGACTCTGGGTCTGATACATTCCAGGGTTTTCAGTTGTTAGTACCCTCAATGTTGACCCCTCTTGGATCTCTTCGACAGGTCCCTCAGCCCCTTCTCAGCTTGTGGGGTTTGGGGTTTCCCCTCAAGGAACTTACTTGGCTTCGGGGTCATACTCGGCCCAGATTCTTTTGAATTCATCCAGATGGTGGGGACCAAGGATAGACCAGTCCCGTGTCAGGTAGTCAAAGTTGTCCATGATAACAGCTACAAAGAGGTTGATGATCTGCAGGGAACAGTTGGTACACTAAGGGGCTTTGCCCAGACTCTTACACATTTGCTGCCTAAGCTCACTTCACCAGCCAGTGCCCAGGTAAGCCAGAAACCAATGTTTCTAAGTATCAGCAATATGCTAGCGTTTAGGATGCCAACTGCTAGAATCTGGGTCTCCTGGACATGAGCTTAACACTATTCTCCTGAGCATCAGGAGGAATGAATCCTACGTGTAAACAGAACAACTTCCTTTGTACCAAGTTACCAGGGACAGAGAGGGGCTTTGTCTGGTCTCCTTTCCCTCGCTCCTGAGCAAGGTATCAGAGACATATAAGTCCACAAAGGGCTTCTATACACCTTTGTCTTCTAGAACAGCACTACCGTGACAAGAGCCATGAATGGACAGGAGCTGAGATGCTCTGTGCCAAGACTTCTGGCCCTTCTCAGGGATGAGATGTCTCTACTCATTTAGTCTTCCCAAGACAGCTCTTATGCTGGGATGTCCCTGACCCCACGCTGCCTTGAAACTGCCTGCTGTTGAGTCCCATCTCAGCTTACCAGGAAGGCACAGAGCATGTAGAAGCTGATGAAGTAGAAGACAGCGAAGCTGCTGCCACAGGGTGTCTCCCCTTCTGTGCTGTTGCCAGGCTCAGACTCGGGGGCACACTTCTTGCCCGGCATACAGGCCAGCATGATATCCTGCCAGGCTTCCCCGGTGGCACATCTAGACAAGAGAGGCAAGAGAGTCCAACCTCAGCCGGCCACTATCACCCATGCAGGTAAAGCTGCCTCCGCCTCACCTCCCAGGAGGAATTGCTAAAAGGAATTGAGCACTTGGTGCTCACTGGGCGCTGATCGTCAAGTTCACTAAATATGGAAATACAAAGCATCGTTTCAGGAAGTTCTTGAGAACTTGTTCTCTTATCTATGTGAAGTTTTTAGATGCAGCCATGAAGACATATTTTAGCTGTAGTTCATTTTCACTGCTCCACAGGAGTACCCTCCATGCGTTATGTTAAAATGTCCACCCTTGCCATGTGAGATTGTTTTGGCTGTCACAGCGAACACTGTAGCAAGCATGCTGGTCCATGTCTTGGGTGTCTGCTCAGGAATGGGACTACCACATGGAGATGCTTCATGTCTTCGTCTTTACCAGGTGGCACTTGTCTTAGGCCAGTGTCACCACAGACAGATCAGCTCTTGGTGTTAGAGGATTCTAAACAATGCTCCTCAGATGGTAGTGTGGAGTGATTTGTCACTGCTATTCAAATTTGGCTTTTCTGGGCCAGCCTGGGCTATATGAGGTCCTATCTAAAAAAGAAATAAAATAAACATCTTTCTTAAAAATGCTTTTAAAATGATTAGCCGGCTGGGAGTTTTGATTCTGCCTCCTCTTGACTGCATGCTCATGGCTTTGCCCCTGTGATTCATGGGCTATGTTTCTTCTTGTTTATTCAAGGAGTCCTTGGCATGGCCACATGAATTCCTTTGTTAGCTACATCCACTACAAATGTCTCATTCCAGATATGGCTTGTCTCTAGCTTAACTCATTTTAATTGCTATATACATTTGCTCTATCTGGAGTGCCACCACCCCTGCTGAGGTTCTCAGTTCAGGACCCACGCTCTCAAGGCAGGGACATTACCCACCATCTACCATCCCAGCCCATACTTCTCATATTGTTGCACTGGATAGAGCTTTCAACAAAATACTGACCAGAAAAAGTGATAGCACAATGTGTCTATTATATTTATTAATTGGCTCTCACAAGCTGGGGGTTTTCTCGCTGGCTCTCCCACCTCACTGATCCTCCACACTGTCATAAAGTTGATCTGTTTCCATTTTCTGCCTGAATTAGCCTTTGTCTTCAGATGGCAGAACCCCACGCTGCAGTGTTCGTGACTTCTGCCTTCTCTTTAAAAACAAAATAATCAGTACTAGTTCATCTTCTCAGCTGAGTCGGGAGGTTCCCGCCTCTTTCTTTTCTGAGACTTTGGATGACTCGGAATGACTTAGTGCTGGATCACAGATGAAAACACAGCAGCGTGGGTCTTGTCAAGGCTGTGATTTTGCCAACAATCTATTGGAGCTAATGCTATTCATTTATTGAGAGCATTTTGGTGTTAAAATTAGCACTAATCTGCACCTGGCAGGGAAGGCCACTTCCTCTGATAAGCTGTAACTAACGGATGTGCTCACATTGATTTGTGTGAATAAGTAGCAGTCCAGAAAACTACATTTGGACATTTTTTCAAAGAATAATTTCTTCTTTAAATTTATAGTAGTTTCTTGGTTTATCAAGGCCTTTCCAGTTAATAGCACTACTATCATGATCAATCTATTGCTGCCCAAATATTCCTGGGAGTGTGGTCTTCCACTGGAGCAACATTTTCCTCAACAAAATTTTTGTAATCCGTATTTTCCTAGATAAAAGCATGTACTTCAGCTGGGCGTAGTGGCACACACCTTTAATCCCAGCACTTTTGAGACGGAGGCAGAGGCATGCAGATCTCTGTGAGTCTGAGGCCAGCCTAGTTTACATAATGAGTTCCATGCCAGTCAGGAATAGGCAGAGAGACCCTGGATTAATAATAATAATAATTTAATAATGAAGCACCTACTTTATTTAGATTCTCTAACAGATTGGCATAAATTTGTTCATAGTACTTTCTGTTTTAGTTGTTGAACTTTGTTGTTGCTTGCTTCTTTCTCAAGGTCTGATCTTATTTTGCAAACCCTCAATTTGACTGGCCTTGGTCAGAAGTAGAGACAGGTGGATGGTGTCAGAGAGAAGAGCCCTATCGCTTGGCAACTGATTTCTGGCTTCCCTGGTTTTATCCATTTTTTTTTCGTGTATTTTGGCATTTGCCTTTTCCTTCTTTCCTCCTTCCTTCCTTTCTGTTTTTTAGTACATTGTTTTTCCTAGAGCATCAGGCGAGTGTTCACGTTGCAGGACACCGGAGGGAAGCAGGATTCAGACTCCTGGGTGCTCTGGTCCAGGGTATTTTACATTCTTTCTTTGTGGGCCTCTTCACAAAATATTGATGAAGATAACGTTAAAGAGACTGAAATGTTTGTGTATCTTGCCAGCTTTGGGGTCCAGATAATGAGATGGTCAGGAATATCCTTCTGCCTTTTCCTCAAAGTAACCAAAAGCAGTATCCACAAGCAACCTGGGGTAGGATTTGCATACACTTTTCTCCAGCACACACTGGCCCACAGTAACAGGAAGGCACCACACCTCGATGCAGGAAAGCAGCCCTGCTTCGGTATGCCACCATTCTCTCATTTATTCAGTGCGCACAGCCTCTCAGCGACCCGAGTGTCAGCGGCCACATGCTCCTTGTACAAAATTTGTGTTCACTGCCTGCTTTAAAGAATTTCTGGCAGCCAGTGGCCAGAAAGATGTGTAGCTTCCTTCATTCAGAAGAAGGTGATCACCTCAGAGATGAGGTAAAAATGAATCACGAAATTCAGTCATCATTCTAAAAACCATTTCCACACCCACAGTTATGCTGCACACCCATGCTTGCGCTTTTATTAGTGTTCATATTTAATAAATGCATATTTACTTACTGGTATTTTCAAAGAATCAACTTCTAAGGATTAAAAAAATCTAGTTTTGTTTTTTTATTTTGTCAGCTTACACTTTTATTTTCATAAGTGAACTTGTTCATAATTTGGGATTATTTTTGATGTTCATTTGCCCATCTGTTTATCTCATATAATCTCCCAAGTAAGGACACTTGGGCTCTCATTGTAGTTGGCACTGACCAGTCATCTCGTCCTGCCTCCTGCTTTCATGGTTGAGAAGCTGTACTGTCAACTCAAGCTGATTAGGGGAGGGTCTTAACATTTTACGTGGGTAGATTTTACAGGGGCGGATTCTGTGCATAATTTCTAGCTTGCTGGATGCATGCTGGAGAAGCTTTAGAACTTGTTAAACTATAACTTAAGTGTGGCTACTTTTATAGATGTTTCTGAGTGTTCAAAGAGAATGTGTCTTTTGCCGTTTATCGAAAAGTCTATAAATAACACCTCTTAATTGTGTCATTTAGATGGTCTTTTGCCTATGCCAAGCTATTATTTTTTATAAATAGTATATTCAGCCACACTCACCATTATGTAATTGCTTCCTCCTTGTGTCCCATTACTATATGTATTTCCAAAGAATATTGTTAAGCTTACATTGTTTGTAATTGTTATATATTATTGGTTGACTAAACCTTTTATCAGCATTGAATCTTCCTCCTTGTTTTGTTTAATACTTCTTACCTAGAATTTCACTTCTACTGATGCTGAGACTGCATTGCTGGTGCTCCCATTTCCCACCTCTTAGTCCTCATTGGGTCATTTATCCTCTCTTCGGGTCATTTCGTTTTACTGTCTATCACAAATGCTCTAGAGTTAGAATTCTTTCTTACAGGGTTTCTCTGTGTTCTTGCTTGTCTTGGAACTTGCTTTGTAGACCAGGCAGGCCTCAAACTCACAGTAATCTGCCTGCCTCTGCCTCCTGAGTGTTGGGACTAAAGGCGTGTGCCACCATGTCTGGCTAGTGTGAGGCTGGAAAAGATTCCATTTTTATGCTGGGACTTTGTGGGAATTTGAACTTCACCCCCACCCTGGAGAAAAGTCGGGGGTCGCTAGCCCCCTTTTAGGGGAAGTATTAGCTATTGGAAAAACCCAAGCTACAGAAAACTTCTGACAAGATGCTGACCACCTGACTTCCCCTATTGGTAGATAAGTCTCTAGGCAGACTCTATGTTAATAAAGGGTCAGCAGATGTCTGGAGGACATAACCAGGAGGGCTGTTGCTATCCCCCTTAGATACTAATAGCCTATCAGGAACTAAGAGCTGAGCTTACCTCACCTTTAGCCAATTGTGATACAGGATAAGGAATTTCATATTTTGAGACTGTAACCTTGTGACTGCTTTGTGGCTTTTATCTTTATAAACCCCTTATAGGAGTTGATGGGGTCCTTCTCCCTCCTTCTGCTGTGTCAGACTGTGAGGCAGAGGACCCATGCTAGCCCGTCCTTAAAAGAGAAAACAACCCTGCTTTTGCATTCGGAAGAGTGGCTCCGTGGTGGTCTTCTTGGGGGTCCTAGGACTCAGGCACACTAGCACCTGCAGTAGAGTATCAATCTTTGAAAACTGTGATTGTTCAATCATATTAATTGTACAAATGAATAGGTTTCACCATGAAATTTCTATAAATGTGTGCATCATGCCTGATTTTTTTTAAAAAAAGAATTTAAAAATTATTTTTTGGGGTATGTGTGTGCTATAGCACATGTGTGGTCAAAGAACAGCTTGGAGGAGTCCGTTTTCCCTTCTTTTGTGTGGGTCCTGGGGGACTGAGCTGAGGCTGTCAGTCTTGCCAGCAAGCACCTTTACCCACTCAGCCATTTTGCTGGTTCTAATGCTTGGTTTTTAATGTAAAATTTTAACAAGCTTAATTTTTAATATCCTCGTATTGTCTTTCTTCTTCCCTTTTACTTTATTCTCCTAATTTTTTCTTTATTCAAAGCCACTTTTGACCTTCCTTCTGCTAAACCACTGACGTTTCGCTTGTCCAGTGTTTCGACCTAGTGGTTTGCTTTCAGGCAGTGCTGGGAATCCAACCCAGGGCTTGGGTTTGTCAGGTAAGCACCGCACCAGTGAGCTACGCATCCGCTCCCCTCCCCTTGCTTTGAGATGCATTTTCAGTGTCTGTGTATCTAGCTGCTAACTTTCCATATTTAACACATATGTTTACCAGCCCTTTCCTCCCAGACATAGAAAGTCTCATCTACTGAGATGGCCACAAGGTTTTTGTTCATTTTGTTAATGTGTTGTATCACACTTCTTGATTTGCATGTGGAGGACCCAATTACACTCCAGGTTTAAATTCCACCTGTACACAATGACTGATGACTTTATTTTATTGTTCAATTCAGTCTGCTAGGATTCTGTTGAGGATTCTTTTGTATTTTTGTTAACTAAGGATATCGGTCTATGGCAGTGGTTCTCAACCTGTAAGCCACAACCCCTTGGGGGTTTTAAGACCATCAGAAAACACAAATATTTACATTACAATTCATAACACTAGCAAAATTACAGTTTTACAATTTAATTTTATGATAGGGGGTCACCACAACATGAGGGATTGAATCAAAGGGTCGAGGCATCAGGAGCGTTGAAATCACTGGTCTATAGTTTCCTTTTCTTGTAGTATCTTTGTACAGCTAGCCTAAACAAACAAACAAACAAACAAACCAGCTTGGGAGGATTTCCCTTTCTCCAATATTTTTATAGGTTGGGAATCTTTAAGATTTTTTTTTAATTGGCATTCTAGAAGTCAGCATAAACGATCAGTTAAGGATTTGGAGATAAGACAGAGAGAGGGCATTGCCATGTAACCCACACTAGCTTTGAACTCATGGTGCCCCTGCTCCAGCCTTCTGAGTTCTGAGTATACAGACATGAGCCACCAGCCCTGTCAACCCAGTCTGCCCTTGGTCAACCTTTTCAAACTGAAGACTTGCTTCCTTTGGAAATTTCATTTGATCACTCTCTTCAACTCTTTTGCTCTTGTCTGGAACTTCTATTTCTACCTCTCGTCTCTTTGTCTTAATCTTTATTTCATACCTTATTTTCCTTTGTGCTTTGGCTATGTAGTAGAGGAACCTTAGTAGATATTTAAGCTCATCAATACATGTTTAGATGTATCCTTTCTGCTACATGTCTCATCTATTTAGAAATATTTTAGAAAGGAAAAATATTTAACCTCTGTATTTTCTCTTCCTTCTTTGCTCTATTTAGTAATGGCTGCTGTTGCTGTTTCTTCTAATTTAACAGAAGGGTCCGTCTTTAGTCACCTTAATAATGGGAACTGCATTTAATTTAAAATCTTTAGGATCTGGTCCCTCCTCCCTCCTCCCTGTGTGCTCATTTATTTGTGACTTGAGCATGACACAGACACCTCTCTTTCCTGATGTTGGCTTTCTCAAATATTTTGGGATTACTGTCAGTTGCTCTTTGTGACTGTGACCCCAGCTCTCTGGATAAAGTCCTTATGTGAGTTCTCTGGGGACCAAAGGCAAGGCACGCTGAGGGGCCTGGGGGATAGCTTCTCTCTGTGGGCAGGTTCCCTGAGAGAGATAAAGCACCCTGCTGGATCTTTCAGATTGCCAAGCCCTGGGGTGACGCTGTCACACCTTAGGAACACAGAAGAGCTTCCCCAGAATGCAAGCCCCAGAGGGATCAGTTCAAGCGGTGGCCCAGATCTCTCCAGTCCCTTGTATCTGTTGACACTCAGGTTGGAGAAGCTCCAGGTTGCTCTCACCCCCTCCCTGGTCTCAAACTGTCTGGAAACCAGCTCTTCTCATCTCATTCTTTGGTGAACTGAACCCTATCTGCTTTCTTCCACTTAGAAGTTCCTCAACACTCCCAGTTCACCTGTAGCCTCTCTCATTATCCCTTTTCCATCTTCAACAGTGTTATGGGTTAATTCTTCGAAAAGGCATTTTCTGCCGTTAAGAACTTTAGAAAAGAGGGAGAGGTCAGTGGCCAGCCTGAGGTCTGTGACCATTTCCTGCATCTGAGTGTGGCATAAGCTTGCCGTTGTGACAGCAGATTTATAACAAGCAGCTTTGTTCTGACGGCATATGAGGTGGGAGGCAGTGACATCAGGCGGATAGGAAGGAGACCCATCGTTTTGATAAGTGCATTTCGAGCAGTAATAAACTTGGGTGTGGGATCAGGTTCCGTAGATGTTGGAGGGAGGCAATGCCAGCTGACAACCCTCTTCCCCCCTTGTGCTCTGGAAAAGCATTTGCCTCAGAGACAAGAGAAATCGTCTCATCTACCAGTCTGGGACTAGACAGAGTCTCAGTGTGTGACATCATGCAAAACAGTAAAGTGTGAAGATGGAAGCAGATAAGGGGACCATGGCGAGCCAGGAGAACAAGAAGATGGTGGCGTAAGAGATGAATTCTGGGCAGCATAAGGAAAGTACCTTCTTGGCCACACCTGGGGTGGCAGGTTTGTAGGAAGTACGGTGTCTAAAGGATGCCTTGGTGAATGTATTGTCAGAGAAAGGAGATATATTAATCAAGGTCAGTGCGTTGCGGCTTGCCTGTGTCCTAGTCCAGATGCTGAGACACCATGCTTCTGGTGTTTTACTCCGACCCCCTAATGGCTGGGGTAGGGGACTCCCAGAAAAAGCGTGTGGTGCCCTGTGGCTACACATGGAAAATTGGTGTAAATGACAGTGTGAGGGGAGGAGAGGCCATTCTTTTCCTGAGGCTCTCCCGGGGATGGACCACTGTCCTGGAAGTGTGTGTGTGTGCCCTACGTCATCAGAGACCCACCTGAAGAGCAGGAGCACAGCCTGGGGAAACGTCTGGAAGTTGTTGTTCCGATTGATCTCTGTGGTGTCATTCAGGGCGATCTTTCCAAACACCTGAAGAAAGAGGCACTCAGGGACCAGAGAAGGACAGTGCGCTCATCTCCAGCCCCCGTCTAACAGCCTCTCTGGGCCTACCAGGCCAAGCAGCAGACATCTGCTGTCCCCTGAGCCCTGGAGTCAGCTGCAGCACTGACAGCTTTAGGAAGGATTGTACCCTCAGCCCACAGGAAAGGTCTCCCACCCAGGGGAAGCTGGCGGCGGTAAATGTATGCTGAGACCAGGGTGTTCAGGGTAGGAACCGGGGCTCACTGCCTTCTTGCCTTCGCTACTCCAGATACCCAAATACACAGCTGATTCTTGGATTCTGCGCAGCTATGGAATGGGCTTGGACAAGCCTCGTTCATTCCTAATGCCAGAGGTCTGCTTGTGTTCTTCCTGGCCCTCTGAGGCCATGCTTCTCTGAGAAGCCGCCAGTACTCTCTCCCTGTATCTGCTGTCAGTACATCTTTTTTTCCCCTTTAAAGTGCAGAAGACTTTTCCTCTCAGGAACTTTCAGGGATTTTGTGCAGGGAGCTGCTAAGTGAATATCCTGGCTAGCGAACATGCTTGGCTGGGGAGGCATTGCCTTACAGAAAGACTCAGTTGGAGCCTTGAAGGGGTGGGGGGACCCTGGGTGAGGGAACAGAGAAAGTACAGCAGGCCCCTGGGAAGAAGGCTTCCGAAGAGGGCTGCATGTTTGGTGGGCAGTGCTTTTTCTTCTTTTCTCACTCCAAATCGGGCACATCCAGCGTGAACAAAGCAGAGGACGCTGGTGGGACACACCCACTTTCTGCTGTCTCTGGTGGGAGGCTATTCTCTCTTGAGGCCCACTGCTTAATTTATGAGTGTCTCCCCACTGCAGAACCCAAGCTAGTACTGTAAGAAGGAGGGACCACTGTGCTGTCTCTTGCCCATGGCCTACAGCACATAATCATATTGGAGGAAGTTTCGCTCTTTGGAGGTTGAGTGACAGGCAGGGACAAAAGTGAGAAGAGAAGAAGGAATTGGGAAGGAGCTACCGTGCTGGGGGCTGGGAAGAGACCAAGGAGGCGGAGTTTCTCATACCTGCATCCCAATCACTGCATAGATAAAGAACAGCATCACGATCAGAAGGGCCACATAGGGCAGGGCCTAGAAGGAAGCACACAGCGACCATGAGACCCAGGGGTTCAGGCCAGCAGGATCTTTTCCCAGAAAGCATTGCATTCCCAGTTCCACAGCAATCAGCTGCTGTTTAGCTTAAAGAAAACTGAGTACCAGGAAGAGAACCTGAGAGGAGGGATCTGGCTTGCCATATCAGCAGTCTGTCTGTCCATCTGTCTGTCTATCTATCTATATCATCTATTTATATATCTATCAATAATCTGTCTCTACTTATCAATCAATCAATCTATCAATAATCACTATCTATCTACCTATTAATATATCTATCAATAATCATCTATTCTCTCTCTCTCTCTCTCTCTCACACACACACACACACACACACACACACACACACACACACCTATGTATTCCCCTATCTGTTGGGAATGGAGCTGAGGGCCTCTACTACTGAGCCCTGGTCCCAGCCCATAGTTTGGTTTTAAAAGCACACTTCAGAATAATGGAGGTAGCGCCATATTGTTTTCTGAGAACAATCAATGAACACTCCTCCTCAGACTACAGTTACGTATTTGCACAAAGAAGGAAGGGGTGATAGAAATTACCCCAAAAGACCACTGTAGTCACCAGGGAAAAGCAGGAAGGAGGCAGCTTATACCCTGTCTTGATCCTGTTACTTTCGTAGAAATGAGCAGTCAGCACCATTGCCAAGAAAACAGTTAATAAGGAGAAACGTAAAATGCTCCCCTCTCTTCCCAGCTCTACAGCTTGGACACAATATTTAAGTTCTCTGGACCTGTTTCCTGATTGAATGAGGAGGAATGTACAACCCTTCTACCTGGCAGGGGTGTGACATTTGAAGGGTGTAAGGCTTGTGAAATGCATGACACAATAGTGCGTACACAATCGGGTTCACACATTTTACTCATTCAGTCTCTCCCCTAAACAGAGCCATGGCCACTTGGGAGGAGGCACCATGGGTCTCAAAGCCTTTTGCGGGATCACGGAAACCTGGCTTTCCGGCTTAGGAACGATGTTGCCCATGCACCACTAGATGGCACCAAGAGATCACACGATTTTTTTCACGTGTGGTGGGCTCTCTTGCTCACTGATCAAGTCCCTTCAAGGTCACCCCAGCTACTTCTCATTACAAGGAAATGTTGGGGTGTCTCAGGGGCCAAGGCAAGATAACCCTCGCATCTTATCCCATTAGGGCCAAGGATTCAAATCCTTAGAACACCCCCTTCACCTTGACCTGAGAAGGCTCTTGGGGTGGGGGTGAGGAGCCCCAGTTTCTCATTAGGGGTTGAGAGGCCAGTGGGGTGGGGCATGGCTGGAAGAACTCTGTGTTTGTGTGCAGCTGGGCTAGACTTGAGGTCATCCCTCAGAGAGCTTTGGGTGGCACTGTCCGCAAACCTGCGAGTTTGAAAGGAAACTCCAAACAGGGCAGGCAAGTCACCACCACAAGACAACTGTCCCCTGGGTACAGTCGCAACTCTGAGCACATCTGGATGGAGACAGACTCCATGCCCAATTTGGACTTGCGCTGTCAAGGGCAGGAGACACGGCCTAGATGCAGGGTCTAGGGAAGTCTAAGAGTCCCTGTGTGGGAAGAGAAGCTGGCTTTTGTGTGGTGTCTGGGAAGCACAGCTAGGAATTCCTACAGATCTTTCCCAGGGGTCCAAGTGCCCTAAGGGCTGCGCTTCTCATGAACTTTGCACTTACAGGACTGCACTTTTTTTTCTAGTAAATTCTGCGTTTTTTTCTAATAAATTCTTTGGAATGTGTTGAGTCCTGGATTTTGGAATCACAGGTCTACCCGCATCCTCTCTCCCTTCAGAACGAGGAAAGCCAGGTACTATCACATTGCCATCTCACACTCACTGGGTCACTTAGACCAGTGTGAGAACCGGCACCAGCCAACCCTGGGCCCCACACGCTGTTTCTTTCCTGGTCTGCCCTTTGTGGGGAGCCCTAGGGAAAGTAACAGGGGAGCACTAGGTCACTCCCCTTCCTGGGAATAGTGGAGGGGGAGGGGCATGGCTACCTGGAAGGATTTGATGAATGTCCACAGCAGGGTCCGGATGCCTTCCCCTCGGCTCAGCAGCTTCACCAGGCGCATGACCCGGAAGAGGCGGAAGAAGGTGATGGAGATGCGGGAATTCTCCTCTGCGCTCTAGAACCCGTTGGCAATAGGGGGGTGCAGTTAACACAGCAAGAAGGCGGGGCAGGAAGGGATCCTCTGAGAAACAGCCATTGGTTGAGAGGAGGCAGGCCAGGGTGGGGTCAGCTGCACTAGACTCTTCCCTTAGGTTCCTTTCCAGGTCGGCAGCCTATCCCAAGGTGTCTGCTAAGACAGCCTGGGCTCATGGCCTTGTTTTCCTATCCTCCTCTTTCCCATAATTCCTAGTTCTTCAACTATTACAAGCCGTGGCATCTGGGCCCAGAGCCACTGCCCTAGAGACTCCTGCCCTCCTGTGACGGGAGAAAGCAGCCCAGCGGCTCCTAGTTTGTCAATTGGGAGTTTTGCCGTGTAGGACTGGACCGCTGCTTTATCGGGAGGAGGCTGGATGGTGATGGCATCTCTCCCATCACCTTAAATTGCCTCTGAGCATCCAAGGCATGCTCAGATCTCTCTTCTCCCAGTCACCACTTTCTACTTCCCGTGGTCCTGCCCTAAAAGCCTGCTGCGGAGTGGTGGTAGCGGGTTGCTGTGTTATAATGGGGGGATCACAGTCCCGTGCCTCTGGAGTTGCTGCCCTTTTATGGTCCTTGACATATGGCCTCAGTGGCTGTAACCTTCCCTAGAGGTCCAGTCTGGAAGGACTGGCGATGCCAGCAGGACAAGGCAGGAGAGGCATCCTGTGCACTGAGTCCCCGAAAAGGCTGAGCCTGGTACATGGCCACTGTGGGGTGCCACCCAGTGTACCTGTTGCATGGTCTTAGACAGAGAGAAAGAGACAGAGGCAGCATTGAGGTTAGGGGCAGCTGAGGTGGGCACAGAATTTCTGGGCTGCTGGGAATCTATGGGCACAGGTTCACGACTGCCTTCTTAGCCTGGAGGAGCTTGAAGGTGTGGACACATGCCTAGCCAGGCCTCTGGGGCACGAGTGTCGTGTTTTGCCCCCATACCTGAGAACAAGAACTGATTATGCCCTTGGCCCTCCTGCTCATGTGACTGCCTGTGCTCCAAAGCTCCAAGAGCTCCTGGGAGCCCTTCTGCCTTTCCCAAAGCTAGTGCAGCCTACCCAGCCCTGCTGGCAGCAGCACCCGGAGAGAAAGGACCCTAGAATTTCCTGTTATGGCTCCCATCCCAGGTCCCCCTTGAAGGAGGGGTCTTACGTTGCTTGTTCTCCTGTCTCAGCCCTTTAACTTGCTGTACTTGACAGTGTTTCTAGCTCAGTCCCTCGCTGACAGCACCACACCTATATATACCCTGGACCGTTCCTTAGCGCTAAAGCCCTAGGGGTCTACAAACCCTTTAGTTCTTCCTCTATGGCCTTCTGGACCATCTCTGAGTTCAGGCCAGTTTATCTCAGGTCTGTCGGGAGGGGTGTTATGTAATGGACTTTAGGGATATGCCAGGGATATGCAACAAGCTGGAGCAAGGAGATAGTCAACCTCCATGTCAATGACCACCCACCAAGGGAGGCAGCAATGTAGGGTAGATTTTCTAGATCAGCCCTACCCTCCATACTAGGAGGGCTCTGAAGAAAGCAAAGCAGAGGGTTCTGGTTTTTAGACCCTCCAGATAGGACCAGAACCGAAACATTTCTTATATCTTAAAATTGGAGGTACCCCAATTGCTATTAAGATGCTAGCCCGCCAGGCAATGCACAGACTCACAGGTCCGGGGAACTCCTAAGGCCTGCGATGTGGGCTGCTGGTCCTACCCAGAAGTCTTTGGCTCCCTCTCCCTCTGCATCAGTTTGCCTCCTCTATGTTCTGTTTTCTGTCCTCAGAAGGAGGTTTGCTCCTTAGAGAATCCTACCAGGAGCTCAGAGCGTTTTGCTACCTGTCAGTTCTACCATGTTCAAGAAAGGGGGAAAAACACCCACAACAAAACAGAACACAACAGAACAGAACCAACTTAAGGGACTTCAGTTGTGGGTGTCAACCATTTGTGAAGCTGGTGTCGCTGGGACAACTGGGTCTGATGAGTTAAAAAACAAAACGAGAATTTCCTAGGTAGCCTTTTGGCCAGCGTGGGCTGCCATGGGGATCGCCACAACACTCCCCATGTATCTCTCACGGGTTTGGAGAATGATTAGCCTGGGTTGAAAGGTATGACGGAGTTCTTAGGGGGAAGCCATTTCAAGGAGCTTCAAGGTCATATCACTCAGACAAAAGAAATGTTACTTCTCCATCAGAAGTGGCTCGGTTGGTTTGCTTTCCCATTTCCCACATTACAGAAAAGTGGTTCTAGCACAAACGGAATGGACCTGAGGGACTTGGGAAAATGCAAGACTAAAGCTTAGGATTACAGTAGAGAGACTGCCGGGCCAACCCTGTGCCATGGCAAATCCCAGCTTGTGCCTCTCACACAGCCTTCCATACGAAGCCCAGGAGAGGCTGGTGGTTCCAGCGCCGGTTAGAACTGCCTTTCCCTCTAGCTAGCCCTCACCCCCGCTTTTGTCTTCTCCCCGGAACCCTCATCACAGTTCTCAGAAGCATCCATCACAAATTCCCATGTGAGATGAAACACAGAGTCCTTGGGATGTTTAACAGGAAATAGCAAGGGTCCAGTTCTCTCCCAGTGGATCGCGGTGACTCACCACCCAAAGGAAGCTTGGGGAAGTAGAGGGACACCACTGTACACACACCCTCGCACAGCTCGCGTGAGCACAGGCAGGTGAGGCACACAATGGACATGGTGGCCACATGCAATGGGAGCTGGGCTGGGCTCCCAGGGCTCTGGAAGTTGGGGTGGATAAGAAGTGGTGGCTAGAGGGGGGGGGCACAGAAGCTGGGAGTGTGGTCTGGAGGGTTGTTCTTACCATAGAGGGAGAGCATTGAGTATGTTCAGCTGGCTTTAAAGAAAGGCAGACAGAGATAAGCTGTAATGAGTCTCCAACGAAGAGCCTGGTATTCTAGGTCTTGGCTAACAGAGGAACAACACAGTGGTAGGAGAGGGCATAAGGAAACAAGTGAAAGAAATACACAAGCATGGGCCTGGCAGGGTGAGGGACACCAGTGAGAACATGGGCTGTGTGTCACTAGGCCATGTGGCCAACAAGGACCCACAAGAGTCTCCTGTCCTATTCAGTAACCACCTGTGGCTATGAGGGAACTAACTCAGCTCCCAGTACAGAGGAGGCGGGGAGGTCTCCCAGATATGTGGGTGGAGATCAAATTTGTTTGTTTGTTTATATATTTTGTTTTCAGGTAGTCTGTTTAAAGTGAATCCGACTCAGGCTGGACATGGGCTTACTTAGAGCTCAGTTCAGATTAGCAATGTGGGGGCCCTTGGCCATTGACATGGGAGTCGGTTGAACTTCTTTTTAATCCTGAAGGCCTGGTACACAATTTAGGATGTCACCAATAGTGCCCCAAGTTGTTGTTTTCTAGGGTTAGATTGCTGAATTTGTTTGGGGGGGGCAGGAACTCATAGGGAGCACCTAAGGCCCCTCCTCTCCCAATTTCCCTAGTAATTTTCGCAGGGAGCTACCCCCACACTGGGCTCTAGCATACAACAGTCATACCTGGCTGATCTCAGCCACTGGGGCTGGAGCCTAGGCCTTCATTATCTACTTTCAGATGTTGCCCATGTTTGTTTTCAATGTGCACAAACAAGGAAAGACGAAATAGCATGTTTGAAGGAAAGAACTGTTCATAATCAGATCCTTCTTGAAGTATGAAAATAACTTCTTGGTAACATAGTTCTTACCAATTAATTTAAAAAAAAATTTTCCCATAGAGTTGGTTTTGATGGTTTGGGAGGATGGTAGAGTGAGTTGGGGTGGCATAGGGTCGGGTGGAAGGGCCTTCTCTATGTCTGACACGTTCTATGTCTGCGAGGACTGCCAGCTGCTTGGCCAGTCTACATGTCTAGAGGGGATGGGTCAGTAGGATTTGGCTACTGGGTTGGTAGGAGACACAGAAACAGATGGACAGACATACACACTCACACAGACAGGACATTCCTTGTCCACGCACCCAAACCTCTCTTCCACCAGCATGAGGCTGCTGCCATGATGGCCAACCCTATGTCTCTTAGTGTATCTTTTTGCCCTCCCCTGCCCTGGCGGGTTGGTCCAGGGTTTTTGCCCATGGATTACTAGATAGAGTTCTGTGTCCGGCGATTTGGCAGTGGAAAGGGAGAGCCACATGGAGGTGGCGTGCTCTGTAGACATGTCAGGGGGCTGTTCTGGGATACTGCTTCGCTCCGAGGGACACCCTAATGTCATCACAGCTACCTGTCACTTTCAAGGACCTTGGGTCAGCCTTTAAAGGACTTCTAGACCAATCTCAACCTACATAAGAACAAAATGGAGGCAATTTAGAAAATTCGCCAGCTCAGCTGGCCCTACTAAAGCAGCCTCGAGCCATTGCAAAGAAATAAAATGGTTTATTTTACCACTTTAATATTGGGGATCCCTCATTGGAGGACTTTAAAGATTCATTTGCCATGGCCACCTTCCCTCCTGATGCTTTTCCTTGGCCTTTTGTTGATTAAAATATCATCTATTAAGGGGAGGGAGGGGGAACTGGGGTTGGTATGCAAAATGAAAAAAATTTAAAGAAAAAAAGAGATCATTTACTTAATTTATATTTTACTTCAAAATTTAGGCTTAGATCTGATTACTTCTCTGCTATTTTATTGTTTTAGTGTCAGGCCTTAGCTTGATAGTCCTCAGGTCATGTCTTATAGCAGAAGACAAGATTGCGGAGCAGCTTGGGGATGAGGGCTAAGATCTGGGTCTTATGCTTCCCAGCCCAGGTAATGACAACTTTGTAAAAAAGGGTGAGAAACTATGGGATAACTTTTCTTGAGCCTTAAAGCCATACCACTCAGAAGGCTTTTGTTTGGCTGGAGTAGTGGCTCTTTAGCATTGCCCACACACTGTGCTTATACATGGTCTCAGAAAACAGCCAATCAAACAGCCATTCAAACAGCCAGGACGCAATCACAGAGTGAGTTCTGCATGGAAAGAAGCCTAGGCAGGCCAGATGGTGATCCCTAAACCACCTCATGCCATCATCCGGGTCTTCAGGACCCTCGGAGCTGTAAGTGAAAACCCTCTGTGTGCTACATAGGGGGCGTGAACCACTGCCTCAGGATGCCCATGCAAAGCAGTTTAAGCCTATCGTCACATCTGTCTTGTTTGCTACTGTGTGAGTTCCTCATATTTGTAGGGGTGGACACATAGTAGGCAGCGGTCTCCATGCCCAGGCTTTTCTCCATTGTAGCAAGGAACTGGAGGCAGGGAAGGAGCTGACAGGCTCCATTATCAGGGAGCCAGGAAGGAACCATTGATAGCCGGAAGTTGTGCCTTGGGGTCTATGGTGGAAAGATGCTGTGGGGGAAAGGCAGCACCAAGGATGGCAGTGAGGGAGACCTAGAGCTAGCACCATAACCCATCGTTCCCTGAAACTGACCCCAGCTCCTGTGTCCTCTGCCTGTTCTCTCTCCTTGTCTCTTGTCCCTGTTGATTTGGCCAATGCATGTGATGGGCATTCCGTCCCCATGCCTGTTCTCCCTAGAGTCTCTCTCCTGCTTCTGCCCCTGTGAGGTCCCCACACAGTGCTTTGTCTGAGCATTCCAGGAGTATCCAACATCCTTTGGCTGAGCATCAGCACAGGGAAGCTGTTAGCAGGTCCATAAAGGTCAGTTGCAGAAAGTACCAGAAGAGGGCCCGTGAGTGGCAGAAGCCACCAATGCCTACATTTAGCGTTGCTATGCTGATGCCATCTCAATACATGGCCATAGCTCTGTGGGAGTGTAAGAGCTGATTGACAGGGATGGTTTGAATCATAGACTTGTCCCATTTAGCTGGAAGACTTTGGACCAATTGCTTGCCTTGCGTATGCCTAGATTTCACATGTGCAGGGGGTCCTGCGGTCTCGATTCAATCATGAGTCACACAGTTGTCCTGATGACTGACATTGTCAAGGACAAGATCTCACGTTGCCCCTTTTCCCTTTTCTTCCTCATTAGCTAAGCTCAGAGAAAATGACCTTAATCCTTAATTTATTTTCCTGCTCTGGTCATTTCTGTCGTCCAGCACACTGCATCTAGTCACCCTTCCATATTTCTTCCCCTTAACTTGCCTAGAATCCCCCAAGGGTTGATGTTTTTTCCCCAGGACCTCTTCTGAGTGCCTGCAGCTCTCCCTGGAGGGCTCGCTCTTGTCCCTGCCTCTGTTTAGTCCCACATGAGCCACACTGGAGTCCAGACAGAGCTGAGTACTTTGAGGGCCTGGGAGCCCAGGAAAGCAACAAGGAACTCTTATCTCACCATACTGGAATCACAGAGGCCAAGAGCTACAGGAGACTCTCAGGCCTCTCAATCCAACTCCTACCACATTCAAATAAATAGAGGCCCAGGGACCTGGACTGATTGCTCTAAGGTATCTGGTTCCTGGAGCCTAGGCTAGAAATATAATCATGCTTCTTAATAGATAATTTGAAAATGGTTTTCCACATCCATAATGTAAGAAATGAGGTCTTCTAGCACTTTCTATTGTTCAAAGTCCTTTCAGAGGCAGCACAAAAACAGTGCTCAGAAAAGCTGTTGGTCACATCCCCAAACTGATTCTCATCTGGGATATCAGGGAGCACTCTGGGGAGGATGCTATTAGAACTTCCATGGACGACCATGGAACACTTCTAGAAGGTGTGATTTCATATCCCCGGACTGGAGAAGCTCAAGCCTTCACCAGAGTGAGTGGAGTCACACCATGGTTTGACCCCACAGGGGTTATAAAGGCAGAACAGGGGAGATTTAGGTGGAGGCCTGGGTCAGAGACATAGTGGGGGCTTGGAGCGGAGCTTGGAAACATCCTCCCGTGGTCAGGAGGATGCCCTTCTGAATCTTCAGAGCTCAAAACTGAGGATAAAAAGGACTAGCAATACAAAATGGCTCTGAACACAAAGGTGCCCACCTATTCATGCCAGGTGCCTCTGACCTGCCCTCTTTGAACCTGAAAGCTGACTGCTTTCTCGGTAGGAAGCAAACCGTGAACGTACAGCCTTTTTTGACTCAGGTGTATCCTGGGTGACTGAAGAAGTGCCTACCTATAGAAACAGACTATGAGCATACAGAGTTGAGTGGGTGCTGATCCCCGGAACTAATGAAAAGTACATTTCCTGAGAGGGAAGGACACTCACCCGGGGAAGATGGATTTAAATATGCAAAATACTCATAAGGACATTAGGGTGAATGAGAGATTCCGTGAGAGGACAACAGCTAGCCATGTCCCAAAGGAGCCTGACTTGATGGGCTTCAGGTGAAAAGCCATCATGGATAGCTACTGGATAGAACAGGTACATGGGAATCTATGCTAGTGATAACGGGATGTATCTAGAGAAATATGGGAAGGCCTGGCGCAGGTATTAGGGATGCAGGATTTCCTGAGTTTTCCCCCAAGGTCATAAGAAAATCCTGACTCTTCTGCTGGTCACTGTCACCTAGTGGCAGAGGCAGGTGAGCAGGGTGCTCGTCACCTAACGGCAGAGGCAGGTGCAGGGTGCTCGTCACCTAACGGCAGAGGCAGGTGAGCAGGGTGTTATCATGCAGCTATCCTAACTGGCTGCTGTTTGGGTGCAGGGTTCTTTGGTAACAAGTGTGGCCGCAGGCTTGCCAAAGCTCTGGTCCTGTTGATGACCTGCACTTTCTCTAATGGCTGCACCTGCTGGTCACTTCCATGAGTCTCATTAACAACAGCTAGAAAAGGGGGCACTCCTGGTGTGTGCGGGCTGTAAGTTATGGGCATACCAAGGAGACAGTCTAGTTAGAGGCAGGGGTTTTGATATGATTTGTTTGGATGCTTTAGCTTTTACTTCACAGATCTTTATAGTTGACACAGGGCTTTAGGATAGGTGCTGCTATGTGAGCAGAGAGCCACACACATATTTTATATAGGGAACTACATATTTGCGTTGTCTTTGTTTTCATCGAGAACAGAAACAGCGATGTTATGGCAGGATGGGAGCTATGGCTTTTGCTAGCAGTCCAAGAACCCCAGAGGGACTCCCAGGGCTGCAATGGGTTTTCTGTCACCATGGGAAGCAGCCGGCTGTCCTTCCCTGTGTTTTCTTACTGCACATCTCTGCATTGATTTCTCTGCCAGCCTGCGCTACTGCCTACATACAGATGGCAGAGCCTATGCCTCAGTCTTTCTTTTTACTGCTCTCTCTGCGGGACCCTCAGGCGGCACAGTGCATGACATCTGTGATCAGCAAAGAGTCTGGCCTTGAGGTTCTGAGACTTGAATAACAACAGGAAAATAAGTTAGGGTTCACGCGGACTGCATACCGGGAGTCTACTCAGAAAGGAAGTTAGCAGCAGTTGCGGAAGATTGATTTTGCTTTTAATTATCTGAGTTTTTACCTGAAGGAGTCAAGCCTCAGGGTTTACATGCATGCATATGTGCACACACACACATGCGCACGTGCACACATGCACACACGTGCACACACACACGCACGCATATACATGCACACACACACACACACACACACACACACACATACACACACTGAGACAAAGACAAACTCAAGTTCTCAGAGACAGAGGGGCAATTGATGCTGGAGTTACAGAATAGGCGAGGGCATAGGCCAGGGGACAGAGGAAGGGATGTATGGAGAATGTAAAGTCCTCCCTCCTAAGCACGGTGGCTACATAGAGGAGAATCACACTAGTGAAAGAACATGTCAGGGCCATGTCTTGGGGATGGGCCAGTCTACATGGAGGTAGTGGAACATGTGGAGGAGAGCAAGAGAATTCCAAACATCTACCATCGAGTCCCAGAATCAGGTGTTCTGGGCTGTTATTCAATGGTTCTATCCATCAAAGGTATAGACAAACATTATCAAGTCTCTTTCTTATGGAAAACTAATGACAGAAACTAAACAATACATGTTAAGGACTAACAGCAAGAGGACTTGCTTATAGATAAAGAGGACACCCAAACATGCCAGGTAACAAGAAGACATGTGCGAGAACTGTATAGAAGGAGGCAGCTCTGGGGAGGAGAGGGCAGCAGGGCTGGGGTGTGGGACCTGCCTGAGGCCCGCGGGCCAGGGGCAAGGGGAAGGAGAGCAGGCAGGTGCACAGTCTATGAACTCTAGGATGAGTTCATATGGATATGAGTCTCTTACATGGATCCTGTTTCCATGGCAACAGAAGGACAAAACCCACTGGGAAGGCTCTCAGTAAATCACCAGCCACCAGGCTCTTTACTGTTTCCAGAAAAGGGAGGACAAGTAAATCCTAAAAACTAGCAATACTTCTCTCCCTCAGAGTGCCCGGGATGCTGATGCTTAGTCAAAGCAGACAAGAGTTTGTTCAACGTGAAGACAATCAAGTAGTTCTTGGGAGAGGGTAGGCCATGGCTGACAATGCAGGCAAATTCCTAGCTTCGACTCCGGGTGTTCTGTTTTGCGGGCACACCTTTTGGGAAATTATGGGGATGGAAAACCAACAGGAGGAGAGGCAGAATCTGGAGGTGAAGTGTTGGGTTAGGAAAGGTTTGGGTTCCAGCTCCAGGGGTTGCCCAGAACTCGTAAAGAACCCTTCATTTTCTCGCTCCATAATTTGCGTAGCTGCGCCCTCCTATACAGTGTGAGTCATGCCAGGCTGATTATAAAGGGAGAGAGAAAAAGATGCAGCAACCAACACTTAAAAGGAAGTCTTAGTGCGTTCCAAAGGTTAAAAAATAAAATAAAAAGAAATCTCCGAACAATGCAGTAAAAAGAATAATTTTTAAACCAATTAAAAAATGAAATAAAAAAATAAGGAGGTGGGGCAGCACAGAAAATAAAAATGAAAGACAAAAATAAAGCAGGGAGAAACAAATGGATGTTAGAGCAGGCGGGGTCAGCTGGGTCACAGACACCATGTACTTACGTGTACCTCGGTGATTGCTATATCAACAATGCTACCCACAACAATCAAGGCATCAAATGTATTCCATGCATCACAGAAATAGTGCTGCATGGGGCAGAAAAGCCAGGAAAGAGAGAAGGGGACAAACCAACAAAAGAGGAGAAAACAAAATAAAGGGAGGGAAATGAAAAAAAAGAGGCATGAAAGAAAGGAGAGAAGAGAAAAAAAATGAGAAAAGAAAGAGGTTACGTGGGTATATTAAATACTCTTACCACTCTATAGTTCTGGCGGCTCAAACCTGGGCAACCTGGTTTTCGCAGGATCGAGAGGCCTGACAAAAGCTAGGTTAGTTCCGAGGTGGGTGGGCGACAGCCACCCGGAAGGCAGCCAGTGTTGGCCCAACCAGTGTGCAGCCTGTTCCCTCAGCTCAGATCTGCGCCCTTGGGCCCAGCGCAGCCAGGACAAGTGGGAAAAAAAGGAGAAGAGATTTCTGCTTTTTTTCCCCTACAAGACGACGGCAGGTTCAATAAAAAGCATGACTGGAGGTGGGTAAAATCAGAAATTAAAAAAAAAAACAACAACATAAAAAGAGGTAAACAAAGAGTGAGAGAGAGAAGAGTGGAGGAGGTAGAAGAGGTGGAAGGACTAGGGTCCCTGGGGAGGGCAGAGCGATACTCACATTAGTCTCACTGAGAATGACATCAATTATGCTCCCAATCACGATGAGGAAGTCAAAAACATTCCAGGGATCACTAAAGTAACCCTACATGAGGGAGGGGCAGGCAGGATGGGGATTAAAAAGGAATATTAGACAGACAAGAACAGAGTAACATCACCATCAGAATCACTGTCCAGGCACCTGAGTGTTGCTGTTAGGGGTTCCGAACATCAGCATCTGGCCAGGAGCCTGGTTGGGATAGGAGCAGCAGAGAGGCGGTCAGTTCAGCCCTCCTGTCCTGCCTTTCATGGGTCACATGGTTTGTATTTTCTCTGCCTCCTGCACAGAGGACCCTTCCACTCCCTCAGGGTGGAAGTGGCCATGGGTATAGGGACAAAGGAGGTAAGGCACAGCAGTGCAGGGTGTGGCTGGATTCTACTGTTTATGTGTCAGCTCCTATAGTACAGAGTAGACAGTTAGTATATAGTGACTAGCAGATAGTATATGTCATATAGCATATAGTAAAGGATCTATACCCTTAGTTTCCTCTCCTAGAAGGACCTATAAGAAGGGAGGGTAGTCAGTGGCTCATGTCCTAGGGTTGACAGGGCTGGAATGCAAGCTCAGAGACAACCAAAGGACCAAATCACTCCAACAGTGTCCATAGTAAGTCGGACTCTGTGAAGATGGAAAGGGGCTTAGCCTCCTTCCTGTGCTGGACGCGCCCATCTGTCTCAGGGCAAGTTTGCCTTGGGAAAACTTTCCTCATGGGATAGAAGTGTCTCCTGGTCTAGAAGTACCCGAGTACCCACAGGGGTGTCTCTTAGGTACCATCCCAGGCTCCTTGAAAATGCTACCGAAAGTGATGGCCGTTATTAAGGACTTCCTGAGCTGGGCTGGGGATGGTGGGATTGGTTGGTGGGCAGGGATACTGCCTTCTTAGAAAGGGAGTAAGGTAGCAGAGCCTTGTGGAGGGGAGTTAGGCTCAGAAGGGAAAGACCAGGCTCCCAACTTTACTACTGCCGCCTGTATACATGGCTTCACTGACTTTCCACTTACTCACAAGAGGGAAAAGTGGGAGACTTTTCGAAGGACACGGACAACTATGTGACCAGGTATCCAGAATGCTCAAAGGGCTGGGGACTCCTGGGTAAGGCAGCCACAAAACAAAGAGCAAGTGGCAATCTCAGATCTTGATTATTGCCTCTGTGGGAGGTGTGGCAACTTAAATGGCCATGTCCCAAGACTTTACAGAGCACAGAGCCAAACAGCCCAGGAAATAGCAAGACAGTCGTGTGCCCATTGGTGGCATCAAGGAGACCTGTCCTCTTAAAAAATGACATTTGTTCCTTTTGTTTCTCAGGTAATGCTCTCCAAAGAGGACAGATTAGCGCTGCTGGTGTTTGCTCAGCGGGGCCACTGCTCCCTGCCTGGAGCTTTCTGGAGATGGATGTCTGGAGGTTGGCCAGAGGCTTTGGAAGCAGGAAGAGCGCTCAGGGAGGTTCTCAGTTCTTTGCTCTCAAAGGCTTCTAGCTCTCTTTGGCATTTTGTACTTCTAAGAGCTGAGCCTGCGTTCTTCCATCTTCCTCATCCTATCCAGATTCCGAAACTGCCTCTTTTCCCAGCCATCTCCTTCTAGAGCAAGCTACCAGACAGGCTGCCCTATGGCTATTATTCTTAGAAGAGGTCAGGCCCCAAGGAAAGGGGACTCGAAGTTCCCAGGCATTTCTGCCCAAAGAAAACCTATGTTTCCCCAGGAGGCTTTGGGCAGTCAGACTGGGCCTGAGACTGTCCAGGTCACAGGTCACATGAGGGTCAGCCTGCGCCAAGGCTCTCTTGCTGGCTTCCTGGAGCAACACCCTGAATATCTCAGGCAGGGACTTCTCTCTTCCCGTTAGGTCACATGCTCTAAGTGGCAAATGACCACTGTACTCCTAGGTTCTTATACCCGCTCAGGGTAGAAAGGGGACACTAATCTAGGGGAGGGAGGGTAGGAGTGAATCTCTCAAATGAATCCTGTATATGTGTACTCTTTAAAAGTGGACCCTGGAAAAGGCTGGAGACATCTCTAAGTGGGAGCTGTTTGTTTAGGAATAGGGCAATTTCAGAAGAATACGGAAGAGAAGGCAAAGAAGAGGAGGGAGAGAAACAGGGCCAAAAAACCCCAAAAAACAAAACAAAACAAAACCAACAGGAGGATGTTCAGCACCAGCCTAGAAAACAGGGCAAGCAAACGTTATTCGGGGTATGGAACAGAAAGAGAGAGGAGGGTGGAAGTCACAGTTTTCCCGCAAGGTCGTGGAGCTGTGGAGTCTCTCCATCCAAAGACCTGAAACAAACGGGTAATCTGGCTGTGTCTGCAGTCTCTGAAGGAGGAACGGGGAGACGGAAGAAAGCAAAGAGTGGGCTACTGGGTGAAAGCAGATACACACACAATTAATCTGCTAGTACGCACCAGGGGAAGGGGCTAAGATTTAAAGGGACTCTGTCAGCCTCCCGCTGTGCATCTCTGCTCACCACTTCTCTTGGGTTTATTTCTTATGTGCAGAGAGAAAGAAATGGCCCTCAGTCACCACCCTCCCCCAGCCATAGCTGCAGAGAACTGGACTGGCTAGGACTGTTGGGGTTAGTTACACCTCCTGGTTGCCTGAACCAGGCTGTGTGGCTGGGGCTTTTGCTTGGCTTCTCTGTTCCGTGGCAAAGTACCTTGTGGCAACCACTGGGTGCAGAAATCAGCTAGTTATCTTGTTGCCAAAGGCTCCAGTGGACCCAGTCCTGGCGGACACATGCACAGCTCGAGACAGCAGCGTCAGAGCGACTCCAGGAGGGTGGAGAGTTCCTTTAAGGGGCAGTTTTTCACCATGACCTATAGACCCACCTTCCCATCCCTCTTAGCCCACCAGTCCTCCCAGCTGGTCCTTGAGGACGACTTCAGATCCAGCTTCTGGGTCCCCGTTCCCTTGGCTGGTTTCTTCCTCTGTTATTTCAAGAACCATGACCTCCTACTTGCCCCACACCAGTTCCAGAAACAAAGCCCACATCTGCCCATTTGGTAATAAATAGGTTGTCAAGGGAGACACCTGGCCAAGTCCTTACACGAGGGGCCTGGTGTGTAAGGGTCAAGTGTTTTCTTTCATATGCACACACATGTATGCATAGGCACCTGCTTCCCCCTCTCATTTTCCCATGAGTAACTGGGGCTTGGGGATGTAACAGAGAGGAAGGTGGGGAAAATCGCAGGCCTTTTCTTTAATAAAATCCATTTGACAAGGACCAGCTTATACTTGCCATCAATCTTTTTTTCTGATGAGTGGGTTGGGACATCAGGGCTAGAAAGCTTTGTGCTGGCTCTCTTAGAAGTGGCAAACCAAACCTCTGAGTGCCCAGCTCCTCAGAGCCAGGGAAGATGGTGTGTATATATAAAAGATGGCACTTGTACAACTGGAAGACCTCTCTTGCTACCTTCAATATCCTACATGCTGATTGGCCTCCCCTTTCAAATTACCACTGTCTTGGGATGAAGTCAGAACAGGGGCCTCCCCTCTGGCCCAGCTAGAGAAGGCTGGCATGGCCCCCAATGCCAGAGTCTGATTATCTGTCATCCCTGCTTAACCTCCTCCCACTGGGCAAAGCTGCCGAGTAATGGATAGCTAATTGGCTCCAGCAAATCATTTATAGGAAGGAAAAATTACTGCATGAGCTTCATGCAATGCATTTCATATGCACAAGGATTCTGGATTTTCTTCTCTTTTGGCTTAGCTGTATCTCTATTCGGTGATGTCATGGGAGGCCTACCATTTTGACAAAGACAGTAGTAGTAATGGTATGGTCTCTGGAGACTGCGGGTTTGAATCCTATTCTGCCACTTACTAACCAGATAGATGTGTGTGTCACTTTCCTATCATGACAAAACACATGTGGGAACCAGTAAGGAAGGACGTTGATTCTGGCTCACAGTTTCAGTTCACAGCACTGTTTCCGCTGCCCTGGGTCTCTGGTGAGACAGCACATGATGGTAGAATTGGTCTGTTTATCCCATAGTGGTTGTGGAGGTTTAAAAGAAAATTATCCCCAAAGGGAGTGGCACTACTGGGAGGTATACCTTTGTTAGAGTAGGTATGGCCTTGTTGAAGGAAGTGTGTCACTGACGGGGTGGGCTGTGAGGTCTCAAATATGCTCAAGCTTCACTCAGTGTGATACTCAGACTACTTCCTGTTGCCTGCAAGATGTAGGACTCTCAGCTATTTCTCCAGCACCACGACTGCCTGCATACCATGTACCACCATGGTGATAATGGACTGAACCTATGCACTGTAAGCCACCCCAATTAAATATTTTCCTTTGTATCCTTTGTAAGAGTTGTTGTGGTCATGGTGTCTCTTCATAGCAATAGAAACCCTAACTAAGACATTGGTCAAGCAAAGGAAAACAGAAAGGGTCTTTACACTTCAAAGACACTCCTCCAAGGACCTATTTTCCACTAGGCACCTACTTCTAAATGTCCAACTGCATCTCAATAGAGTCAAGATCCACACTAGCATTAAGAGTGAGCAAATAACCTTCTGTGCCTGTTTTCCTATGTAGAAAACGGGACTGACCATAGTGGTGAAGTGAGGTTTAAAGATACCACACACACACACACAGCACTTAGACTTGTGTCTAACCTAGAGGGAGCTCTAAATTCATATTAGCTGTGGTCATCATTAGCTAAAATCAACCTGCCTGCCTCATTGTTTAGAAGCATCTACAAGTTCAACTTTCTTGTGGGACCGAGCAAAGGGAAAATCAAAAGCAGGCACATGGAAGCCAAGAATGTGGAAGAGGGAAGAAGCTGAAGGCTTGGGCTTGTCAAGGCCGTTTCTGCTCACTATCTGGTCTTGAGATGTTCCTGAGTACAGTCAGGTGGCACTGTTGACATTGTGGTAGTATGCAGGTTGTTATAGCTTAATTTTTTTTATCAGATTCAAGTTCATATAGATAGCTCACTCTTAAGTTCTTAAAAAGAAACTATTCAAACCAGAAGAGATGTGGTCTTCCTTGGGCTAGAAGGCTAGATGGGAAGGGCGCTGGACTGCCAGGTGGCCTCCATCTCCGACACAGAGAGT